TGGTTTCCACACATGTGAAGTAGACAGGCAGCGTGTAAACCCTGTCCAACCGTCACAATGCTGAGTCAAGTTCAAGTGTGCGCTTAAGCAACTGATTGCCAATTTCTGTGCAAGCTGAAACAACCGCCACTAGAACGAATCTGGTCGAAATATAGGATTGAAACGCCAGAGTCTAGTCTAACAAGGCATCAGTCAATCAAAATAGCAGCTTACAAAAAGACTATAGACTTCAATATCTTGCTGCTTTGCGCTCGGAAACGCTACAAACCAGCAAAACCCCTGATCGTAACCTGACCCCTTGACAAACGCACCGGTCTTGATTCCAGAACGATTTTCGACTTCATGAAGAATGACACTAACTTCCAAACGTAGCTGAGATTCCCCCAATCTGACGTGTCCGAGTCCGGCAGGAAGCGGCCCGTGACGTAGACATTGGTCCCCGGGTCGGTCGCCGCGTCAAGGCGCGCGTAGTTCTTGGGAACTCCCTGAATCAGATTGTCGCTTCCGAATATGGAGGTCCAGTAGGTCGGGTTCAGAATATTGTCCAGATTCACGATTCGGACCTGCGTAGAAAGCCATCTATGGTTCGTAAACAGGGTTTAGGCTTTCAGGATTAGGGTCTTGAGATTCGCACCTTCCGCTTACCTTCCATAAAAACATGTCGACGTCTCCTGAAGAGCGGGAAAGCATATGCAGTCTGGGAATCCTTAGAGTTATCGTTCATCAAAAGGGTTACGAGCAAGGGTGACGAGAGCCCACATTCGTTGCCTGTCCCAAGCTAGCTAGCTCATCGGATAGGAGATGAATTTTATTTTGGTCCATCTTCTAATCAGAGTCCTGCTGGTTGGCTAACACGAGAGCGGTTTTGATAGATTGCTGGCGGTTCGTGATGCGTCTAGAAGGCCCCTTGACGCAGGCAAGCTTGGATCTGTCGAGTCAATGTGAGCATTCAGGTCGCTTGAAAACGGTTTGACAAGAGTACAGTCTCACGAGATTAACGTCCTGATCGCCTCGAAAATCGAAAGCTTCATTTCTTGTAGCAGGGATTCCGGTACCATCGTTCAGACGCATACTGATTGGAAAGACCAGCAATACGTCACTTCCTCACAAATACGCCGTCAGCGCGTACCATTAAGCAAGTACTGATTTACCGCTGGGAAAGTGGGCAGAATGGAATAAAAGCTGTTCCTTGGATAAGATCGAATCTAAATCAACGGCTCACATTGATCGATCCGTAGCTCGGCCCAGCCGGCCCCTGCTGCCCCGCAAAGTACCCTCTCCGCCGCGTCACGTCGAGAACCGCCCCGGAAAAGTTTACGCCGGAACTAGAGTTAGCACTGGGTTTGGTGCCCATGATCCAGGTCGGGGGATCTGACCGGAGGGTGGTTAAGTTCATAACCACCGCCGGTGCCATATCTACCGAGCTGATGAGATACTTCTTGACGGAGTCGTAGTCGATCGTCTTAGGCGCGCCGGAGCCGGCGCCCGTAAAGTTGCCGGTTCCCGTCATCGTGATGGTAGTTATGTTTGGAGGAGAAACTGCAGAACAGGATCGTGTCACGTCGATATTCTTGTTCTGCGGTCCGTCCTGGGGGGCCCATGAGATCCGTTCGGTGAAAGATGCGATTTGACGGTTGTTACGTTGGGGACTAAGACTGCAAGCAAGACGTTAAGTTGGATTGTTGTGGCCTGCGATCCCTCTAGATTGTAATACTCGTAAAACCTTTCTGTTCTTTCAACGGATCGTTATGTCGGCGGGGGCCGCAACTGCAAGCGAGAGGATAAGTAGTTCGATTCTGTCGTGCGAAGCGTGATCTTTTTGAACGGATTGTGCCAAAATTTCGTACTTGTAGACCCGTGCAGCTTCTCTGTCCTTTGAGCTTGAGACAGATTAGGTGTACGAGTTGATGCAGAAAGACCCGGGCCAATCATGGGGGGAAGACTGGCCAGACTTGAGTTACTCTGATGATTCTCTTCTTCTACAAAAACTCACGCGTGCATCAAAATCCGTCTGGTCCCACTTAAGCAGATACACACCTGGAAATCTGCTCCGTCTCTTTTCACAAAACTGAAGCAACGCCATTTTCCCCATGACTTTGAAGCTAACGACCTGGCCTCGGAACTCCAAAGAAACAACACCTATGCGTTACGTTCTTCGTGTCCCGCAACTTTGACCACTGCAGAGTCGCAGGTTGAAGCGCAAAAAACGAACAACTAGATGCGAGAGGCCGTTTTGGAGACGTACCCGTGTATTCAATAGCATACCACACGGGTGAGGACGCATTTCCCCCCGTTTCTCCTCCGGCGAACAAGATCCCCCGGACGGTGTCGAGGCCGAGTTTCATTTGCGTCACGTTCGCGTTTGCGATCGTCAGCTGGATGAGCAGCGTCTGGGGGCACTTGAAGATGGCGGCGTATGAGTTCTAGGCGTCTAGGGTACTGGGAAACATGTAGACCTGCGCAACGACGATAGATTTTGATGAAGGGCCCTTCTCCGGGAAGGGACATCGAGCTTGATTTTTGCGAGACAGAGCGGCTGCGTGCGGGCACTTCGTAGTATACCATCCTGCCTTCAGTGCTGAACTCGAAAACAACTTTTTACCGCCTTTGTCTGACTTCCTTCTGCGTTCCACAATTTGGGTTTACGTGGATTCATAGTTGCTGTTTTGGAAACAATTGTTTCTTGGGTCTTGTCGAAAGAGACATCAGCAAGTGGTAAAGGACTGCCCACTCTGTAAGTTTGGGACCCGTTTGGGATGCAATACCGAACCTTTGCTACCCTCAACTTGGGGTCAGTACACTGGTACCCTGGTACAATGAAAGCCTTACTGCGCAAGCTTCCTCGTAAGATGGACAAGTGCATTGAAATCAGCAGGTAGACTTTCAATCGCCCAGCACCGCATACAGGAGCTACTTGTGCAAGACGTTTGGAGGAGTTCAAAGCTACCCGGATCTTCAACCCTTCTTTCCGCAAGCTGGCCTCTCTTCTCAGACATTGTACCGAGGTAAAGTCAACTGCTCACCTCGCCATTCCAGCTGGTAAACAGCAGCTCCCGCGTCTCGTCCACGTAGATGGGCCCCGCATTGTAAGGGTTGACGTCCGTCCCCAAACTGAGGGACGAATAAATGTACTGCTGACCGAGCCCAGTCTGACGCGCACACAGGGGCTGTACGTGCGCAAAAGGTACTGCCGCCCAAAAGGTTGCTGCGCTCGCGAGAAGGACGAGAAGACCTCCTGATGGCGCCATCATAGGTGGGCTTACCATGGGGTGCGTTTCAAACCCTTAGTGTCAAAGTTCTGACGTTTTACATGAGGTTTTACCAGTTCATTCTGATGCTACCATGATAGAAGCGGCGTACGGGGCAGCTTCTCAAGCAGTGTCTCTTCCTGTGAAGCTGGCTCGGTAGAGAGATGGTTTCAAATTGACACGGATCCGTTACTGAGCCCCCCGATTGAACAGCTTCCTTTCTGGCAGCAACTACTTCCTGTAAGGAAGTATCAGCTTAATGCAGGTCTTGCCGCAAGCCGCAGAGTGTGGTCACCCCGCGAGCCCCGTTGAGGGGCCCTCGAAGCGTTAGTACACATACGTTCTCCCACAGCTACAGGCTTGACCAAGAGATTGCTTGCCTTGTTTTCCAAAAGAAATGCTGATTAGAGCTTGGGTCCTGCTTTTCAACATCCTGCTGGACGTGTTTCAAACGTTCCTGCTTGGATATAATAGCACCACATGCCGCCCTTGACAGCCCGACCCTAGTTTCAGCAGCCTGAATTTAAGACATGGATCAACTGGATTATGCAGTACTCAGAACATGTCTGAACGACGTCACTTTGTCACTTTTACCTGTCAGACCGCGGGCTTTGGGCAGGCTGTGGAGCAGCCAAGTCAGCCACCATGGCGACAAAATTATTGGTTTCGTACAACGTGAGGGCTCATGGGAAGTGTGTGAATAAATGCAGGGGCAGTCTGCCATCAAGTGAGTCTCGCAACAGTACCGTACAGGTTCCCAGATTCTTGGTTGACAGAGGAACAGACTAGAAGGAACTGAGCCAGACGGATATACGTAATAGTACCCGCAAAACCCCGCAGCACAGCAGATCCGACTCCAGAAAATTTCAAACAACCTGAGCCAAGTACCCACATGCTGGGACGTCTTGACATCAGCAGCGAGTCGGACAGCCTACTCTCCTGCTTATATCTTATATAAGAGGTAGGTAGTCAAAACTTGAATTCTTGAATCATGTACCGGGCGGGCCCCGCAAACCGGTACCAGAGTCTAGAAGCGCGCGCACAGGTTTTTGAACCTACAATTACAACAATCGGACGGCGCACCAACAAGGAGATCAAAAAGTTCGACGAGCAGTGCGCTTGCGCTCGTTTGCTGGATCGCTGCTTTTATCGACGTCGAAAGCTGTGCCTTTGCTTCGCGCCAGAATTTGCAGCCGAAAAAGTTCAAAAGTTTGAATGCTCTTCAAGTTCAAAGTCAAAGCAGTGCTACAGCTTGCTTTTTTGCGCCGCGACTCGCGAGCCTTGAGGATCTGCTTTACCCGTCATCTCTTGTCAATGTTGAGCCAGCCATTCCTGTGATTCCAGACCATTAAAAGGTGGAAAAGGAGGTGCAGGATATTAGCGGTGCGAGCAGGGGAGGTTGCCAAGCACTCGTAGACATGGCATCAGGTCCTGCAAGGAAGCGGCCGAGGAGACGCTTGGGCCACACCTTGCAGAAACCATCCAAGACAACTCCAGGCCTCGACTCTGAGTGCCAGTGGGAGAAGCTGCCGGACGACGTCATCACTCGCATCCTCAGCTTGGCGAGCTTGAAAAAGGAGAAGCCATCAGAAAGTAAGGATGCATGCCTTGAGAAAGGGGACTGGCCGGGGGGCACGCTCCCACTCTCCGCAGCAAGTCTCTGCAAGCTGGGAGCCGTCTGCTCCATGTTTCGGCGGCTGGTGCCGCAGGTGGAAAGCGTAGCCTGGGAGTTTGAGTACAGCTTTTCGGGTCCGAACGTGCTGGCGCTCGTACAGTTTGCCAAGAGGGCGCAGATGCTGCGGGGGCTGAGGATCTACCGGGAGTATGACCTGGGGCCGATTCTCGCTGAGGATCTGACCGCCATCCTGAGAGCATCCCCCCAGCTGACCACGTTAGAGCTGCACGAGAGCGTTGTAGACGATTCTTATGAGTCTGACGAGGAGTTTGACGGGGATGGGGAGCAAACGGGGGTCCCCTTTACTGCCCAGCAGCTGTTTGATGCGCTGGCGAACTGCCCCCAGTTGGTCGCCGTCAGCCTTTGGCTGGAACACCTGGACCTCGTCAAGCCCTTCAAAGTGAGCCATTCGTTTTGCAACCTGCGACAGCTGTCGCTGAATACTCGGGGGACCATCGTTTCAGACGGGCTAGTGTCCGGCGCCGCGGTCGCATACCTCGTCCGGTTGTGTCCAAATCTGCAGAGCCTCTCCCTGCGAGCCGAGCCAGACGGCACAGGAAAGCTGTTCCTGGTGTCCGGTTCGCTTGAGGTCGTGGACTTGGTGGGCTTTGCAGTACTCAAGCTCAGACTGGAGACCCCCTCTCTAGTTACCTTGCGCCTCGGTTGGTGCCCCGAGAGGGTCGTACTGCAGGCCCCCCAGCTGGCCACCTTCCAGTGCACCAACGCAGTGTTCAATCTGTCAGAGTTCAAGCTAGCCGTGCCTTGGCAACTCACAGAGCTTATCTTGAGTGAGGAGATCGAACAGGAGGAGCTGTTAGCCGGCCTCGTTCTCTGCCCTGGGCTGAAGCGTCTCGATCTCTCGGGGCTGACTTTCACGTATGGCCACTTTGACCTTAGAACCATGAGAGCGTTGGCCGGCCTCAAGCACTTAGAGGAGCTTCTCATCGACAGCGAGGTGGCCATGGAGGAGCAAAACGAGGGTTCGGACGAGGGTGACTTTGACTTGACTCCTGAGAACATCATGGAAGTGGTGCTCCCCAGCTTGCGTTCTCTAAGGGTGAACCTGGCAACTGCCGAGTGCCTCTCGTTCGCGGGGCTGTTTGTGATGCGAGCACCGAAGCTGCGCGAGTTGGTTCTAGGCGTGGGGGACTTGAACCGCGGGGGTTGCAACTGCTTCGGTGCCGACGGGCTGTGCTTGGGCGTCAAGGGAGAGATCATTGGCTTCCAAATGGATGTTGCTATGCTTAACCCCGAGGTTAGGGTGAGGTTAGACACCACCCCCTCCAAACCCGCTGAAGATTCCTGCGAGTCGGACGAGGATCCGGATGACAGTGAGGATGACCTAGACCTTTCAGACGTGCAAGGGTATTTCGGGGGGGACTCGGAGAGCGATGGCAGCGGCGGGGGGCGCTCCGAGAGTGAGGAAATGGGGGAGCGCTTCGAGGTTGGGGATTCAGAGGGCGAGGTATCGGAGGAAGAGGGATTCGCGGGGGAGGCAAGCAGTGACGAGTCAGGGAGTGAAGAGGATGTTGCTGTTGTTAACCGTGAGGATTTTGACTTCCATGATCCGGAACAGGACGATGCTAGTGACTGGGAGGAGGGGAGGGAGGCGTGGGGGGCGGGGCTGTCTAGTCAGGTGGAAGGAGGCAAGGTAAGTGTTTAGGTCTGCCCTTTCTCAGGCAAGGTGATCGAGCTGATTGCTTAAGAGGACATTCTTCGATTGTTCGAGCACAGGAAGCAAGGAAGGCAGACAAGCATACAGCCTTTGCAACTATGCAGCGAAACTAGGCTGGAGAATCTGCATGGAATTCAAAACTCCGTTGCCTGGCAAGCATCAATTCTGTAGCCTGCTGCTCCAGTCTCTCATAGATTACATCTGAGATTCCCTCTTCTTTGCTACAACAAAAGGTGCAGCTTTGCGGGAATAACCAGAAGGCTGCGATTCGAGATCCGTTAACTCATCAGAGAATTTGTCTTCCCTTCTTCAAGGTCCAGCTTTTGGGCCGCTCTCTCAATCACAACATACTGAGCTGACCCACCTCATTTACTTGCAGGTCCAGACTTAGTGTGAGACTCTCCGTCATTATTACAAGACACTTCAATGAGCAAGACGCCAGGTGTTGGTTGTATACCTGTAACATGTTGGAGAGAAGTGCAAGAGGATGAGCAAGGTGACGTTCAAAGTTTCTGCAATGCTATAAGAACATTGATTATGCTGTGACTCGTCAGTCTGTCGATTGGGTTACCAATTGCTACGTACCGCGGCGTTGGTTGACTATGTAAACTACTTAACCTGCAACGTCCGGGCCCCTGCACATGCATGAAGCTAGCCATGAGTTCTCAGATACCGGCCCATGCGAAAGCTGAGCCCTTTACAGGCCCGGCAGCGGCTGCGCGCATGTGTTCGCTCCACTGCTTCAAACATGCAATGTCCGATTGAATGTTTTAGTGTACGGGTTTATAAGATTGAATCAAGTTCTTGTTGACATTATGAGTGCCGGTTCAGTCCAAGGAGCTCAGCACATTCGGTCGCATGCGCATATGCGGTGGAGAACATGAAAAAAATCGATTGACGTAAGAGTTCTACATCCGGGCATTGAATCAGTACACTGTGATATATTCATTTATGGACGATCGCCCATCGTGACGCCTTGAAGCGTTTCTCTAAAGGCGGTCCGGACCTCCTCGGGCACCCTCGAACATGCACCGCGCGGACAGTGCACTGCACCCATGCATTGCTTCTTTGCGGCTGAGCAGCGCTTGCAAGAACCGCTTGGCACTTACCGGCGGTTGAGAAGACCAGCCAATGATCTGTCTCAACTCACGGCCCCTGCCATTGAACTTTTGTGACAGTCCTTGTGCTGTGGCCCGCACGATCCCGTGTGCGTCCGTCTGTCGACGGAGAGAGGCCGGCTGTAAGTCTCGAGAAGTCGCCTTATGGCCTGAGGCACAGGGACATATCAGCCCAAAGGTACTCCTGAGGGCGTGTCGAAGAGTCGCCGCTTCCGCACTTTTCCCTGGTTGTCTGAACCGGACGCGTGTGCCGTCCTAGAAGCGTGATAGCTCTCAGCCACGTCTGCAAAGACGCAAGGGAGCGAACATGTCAAAATAGAACCGCAGAGCCACTTATTTGGAAAGAAAAGCCTTATCATGTTTAATGCCGCTGATGGGGTCCCAAACTAATCTGGACTCCATGCGAAAAGACACTGCAGGATGCAAGAGAAGATGCAATCGACAACACAGAGGTCAGCACGAAAAGCGCGGAATGGGATGAACGTTGCGGGCAGGTATGGTGCGCACCCTTTGGAACCCGCTAGCCGGAAAGCCGAGCTCTCCCGGTATAGGATGCTACGCACGGCTCCCGAGAAAGCGACGTCTGCTGCCTCGCTGCTGGACTTGGCCGGAGTCGACTCAACCGTGTCCTGCGCAAGGGATGGAAAGATCAGCAAACAAGTGGATACGATGTACGTGGTTTCGGTACTGCGACTCAGAGCTGTAGACGGCTGTAGGCGCGCGCTTCAATGCTTGAACATAGGATTGTGAGTTTGTATTCGGTCGGCGTTGCTCAAGAAAGCAATGTTCCAAAACCTCGGAGACATGCTCCTCTAATTCTGACGACTTCAGTGTTTGCCGCCTTCTTGTAGCTCTACGAGGAGAGGACTACTGTTCAGAAACGTCACTCCACACTAAAGTAAGCAGGACCTTGTACTTTGAACTTCCCGCAATGGTTGCAGAAGGGAGAGGACTAATTGTCAGAACGGATGGAAGGAGAACAGGGACTCCTGGCGGACTCCAGAGGTACCCCCTTTTACTATAACCCTCCGATGGACGTTCAAGATTGCAAATTCGTCTAACCCAGATCGTCGATCCGATAGGGTTACAGTTAGGAGGGGTCCTAATTTTGCTTTGGGAGTCCATGTTCTCCGTCCTTCCGTATTGTCAAGCAACTCTTCTTGAAAGTTCGAATTATTCTTTGCAAAAGATTTTCAGGGAAGAGTTTCCGACTTGACCGTGTGGGCCTCGTATTTGCCGGGGTCAGCCGATCGAAGTCAATACATAGGATAGATAGGACAAAGCCATAAGCCGGTGCAGTCTCTCCTAATCTGTAACTCATTCGTCGTTTCAATTCAGTCTTCGCCCCCAAAACAAGCCCTCGAAACAACTTCCGTTCGAGTATCACAAGATAGCATGGACCCTCTTACTTCGTAAAAAACGTTTCGTGGAACCTCACCCCCTTAATTGCGACCACCCACCAAAGCACGAAACCCCGAGGGCTTATTCCCCCACCGCCCTGAGGGCCCATTCTCACCTCGACCTCCCGCAGCTTCCCCAGGTACCAGTCCCGCTCCACGAGCACCCCTAGGTGGCACCTTCGCAGGGCGCGCTCCCGTTCCGCCATGTCATTGTGCATTGCCAGCAGCCGCCGGAGGCGCGCGAGCGGCTCTTTGAGCAGAAGCTTGTTCTCGTCGTTGTCCTCTTGAGCGTCCATGTCCGCAAAGATCTGCTTCAGGTTGTCCCACACGTCAATGTCGTCTCCGCTGGTGGACGCGGCTTCGACGGGGTCGGAGGCTTGCTGGGAGGCGGGGTCGCAGCCTGACACGTGGCAAAAAAGCGAGTTGGCCTCAAGTCCGTCTGCAATTGTTAGACTTACTTGTGGAAGCGCTTTCTTATTGGTTCCAATGATGTAGGACAATCTTAGCAGGCAGTGTCAATCGGCAACATTTGAATAGGAGACTGTTTTGCAAGTGACTGCTTGTCGCCTGTCCTCAGGCTGAGGTTTGCGCAAAATGAATCGATTGATTGAAAAAGTGAAAGAAGGAAATTACACCAGGCAATTTGGGAAGAAGAAGATACCAGCCGTTATTGGTAGAAAGTCGATTTAAAATCATGACCTAGTTTGAAGGGAAACAAAGAACCTGGCAGTGATTTTATGGGCCCAAAGTGCCAGCAAATGCACCCTCAAGCTACCTTGAGGGCTGCCCTGAATACACAATCAATCGGCATCTGCCAAACCAATATCTCCTGGGAAAGAGCGGATGCATGTGATTAGCTGGGGTCCCTGAAGAGACAGAGGTCTAGACGTGCGGAGTGCCGATGCAAATTCTGACCTGCGACTACTCACCATCGATGCTCCCTCGGCCGTCTTCATCTTCTGAGGACGAGAGAAGCTCTGCCAACAAAGAACGAGGTGTAAATTGGCAATGTCATTCCGGCTGGGCTTGGGCAACAGGAAGCCGTTGTTCTCCAAGCAGTCTGACTTTTGTTATGCTTCAAGGTCCAAACAGTTTGCTAGGCATGCGGGCAATGGGCTATTGTACTTCTCTGTACAGAAAAAGCAAGACCCCAAACAGAAACTTGACAAGTCTGCTCGAAGATGCCGGGAGATCCGTACAGTGACGCGGCGTCAAAGGTGGTCAACCCAGGCAACAAAAGTGGTACTATCGTGCATGTACTATCTCACCACCGACTGGGGCCAGCTGGTTGCGCGTGTATCTAATGGAGGGGAGTTGATCAGGACCTACAGATTGTGAAAGAAGGTGATCAATAAGTTCCTGGTGAAGACATATAACCTTAGCATCAAAAAGGATACGAGGAGATCCCTCTGGCAATGCATTTCAGCTGCCAGGACACACCACTCCTTGTGATGCTTGTTCGATGAAAGAAGTTGTTTGGAAGATTCTCTACAATGGCAGTATGGATCATGGGTCTTCTGCATCACTTGCTCCTGAGTGTACAACTGTGATCCACAATTCTGCGGGGATTCCCAAACCCGTGCAGTCAAGACAAGAAGAAGCAATAGACATCTTAGATCCATTGTACGCACTTTGTTGATAATCTTCGGCCCTTCGACATGAGCCCCACACGAATTGGCGGCACACTTTTTCTCACCTTGAACCGCTTGATCTACTTCCAGGTCCTGATCCGACTCGGGCTCGTCATAGTCATCAGACAAGAACGCTTTCTCAGCTGTCTCCGCTTCTGCATATTTCTGTGCAATGTAGGGAGCTGGAGCCTGCCCCGCCTTAGCCATCCCTTGAATTCCAAAATGATCGAAGGGTTTTCTCCACAAATGAAATTGCAGTGGCCTAGCGCCTCCAGGCTCCACTCTCCCCTAGCTTCTAGGGTTTGGTGCCATGTCCGGCCCTGTTCATTTGTTTAGGCGTCGGTTTGGTACTTGACCCGGGCCCAGCCATGCACTGGCAGTCTATGCAGCTACCGTAGTTGACCTGCGACACAAGTCAACAAAACGGGTTAGCCCAACCTCATAGCGGCCGCGGGATCGTGCACTGCGGCCGCCTGTCTGCGCGCAACCCTGCCGAAAAACGAGTTTGAACGCGCGCGCGTTTTCCTGGGGCAAAATGGCGCTGGTGAGAGAGGACTTGAAAACCTGCGCTCCATTGGCATGGGAGCTATCCCGGCCTATCCGCGTCCAGACCTCCTGATGGAAACTCCAAGCACAATATTGGCGCTTTGCTAAGGCAGAAGAGATGCAAGGCTTATGCATTTGCGGCACTGCAGGTGAAAGCAGGGGTTTCCTGCATTGCTTGGAGGTGGAATTCAAGTGCTCAAACCCTAGAAGTGAAACCCTAATCAGCACTCATTCGCATGAGGAGTTTTTTAACGTTTCTCATTCGCCCGAGGTAAGAATGGATATTTAGTGCCAGCTTGTGGCACTGTTGCTCTAGAAAGCGGGTTGCCATCAAACCCCAAGCTGAACGAAGGCTGGTAGGTTGAGGTTCTTTGATAATTGGAGACGATGCTCACTTTGCATCAAGTAGAGTCAAGGAACGCAAGTTGCCCAGGCGAGTTGCATACTCGAGGGGCCAGCCATTACTTCTGATTAAAGAGCAGGAAGCCAATGTGCTCTTGGCTAGAACACAATGGCCGCAGCTGAGGACTACCTGAAGGAGGTTGGGGGGACCGATGCTTTCTCAGAATCAGTCTATGAGTTCCTACAAAAAGAAGGCGACCTGCCGTCCAGCGTGCCGGCCGCCGCTGCCCAAAGGACTTTACGCAGGCGCTCGTCTTTAGGCCATAACCATACAGAGGAACCACAGCAAGAGGGAGAAGAAGCATCAGAGGACAATGTGATGTCAGATGACACAGCCGCAGGAGATGGGACTGCTGACGGCCCTGTGTCAAGTCCAAAATTGGAGAGAGTGAGCGCGCCAATGGGGGCCCTTCTGGGGCTGGCGCAGCAGTTGGAGAACATGTGGAAGGAGGAGGGGGCCAAGGGCTGGAATGCCAACGGCGGGGATAGCTTATGGGAAGGGGGCGGAGCAGATGAGTTTAGGGACGTGGGGGTGGATCTGAATGCTGGCCCGGGGGAGGCGCTGAGCAGCCGGGAATCAGCAGAGAGTGGGGCGGGGCAGCATGAGCGGAGGAGTGAGTGTAACTTACATCCAGATTGGCAGGCCCATGACTTGTCACTTTCCAAGGCTTTCTGGCCATTTATTATGGAGGGTTACAACTTGGTTTTGCAAGGGCCAGAATGCAGGTTGACTGGCCGTTGGCTTAGAAAGTTGCGAGGTCAAGCGGCCTTCCTCGATGCATGCAGATTCATTGAAGCTTGATCATCTATGTCGGTTTTGAAACATAAAGGTGGCCGCAGCTGAGCAGACTTGTTAAGCTGAATCATTTGCAGCTTACCGGTGTCATTGGCAAGTTGACTTTCTGGCTTGAATAAGTCTATGACTGGGTGTTTGTATCTTATGCATTGAGTTACACTATCTTGCTTACAGTTTTCCTCCTACGCTCGCTTGTCTCTGGACCAAATCCCCCAGTTCTTTCCCGGGTGATACGCAGTGGGATGTGTAGAAGTGAGCACGTAATGCCTCTCCAGGTGGAATGAGCTTGATCCAGCTTCCGCAACACGCTTCTGATGTCCATGTCACCAGAGGCCGGAAAACCACAAGTGATAATATACTCAAGACCGAAAATGGTTGTAAATTCAAGTGCATGGGTCCTGCCAGAGCTAAACCACCAGTGACGCAGAGACCATCAGGAAACTGGAGGATTAACCTGAAGGATGGAGCTCCACTAAAAGTGAACAACAACTTCTTGATATTTGTCCGGGCTATAAGCAAGAATATGAGAGTAACTCTGGTGGAGACCAAAGAGGCAATGATTATGTCAAGACCTGAGATCTGATTGCTTGAAGTGGCCGTGCAGAGCCTTTATCTGAGACCAGCTACCAGCAGATCTTGGACGAGCTCCGAAACAAGGGCCTGTCTCCGCAACAAGCAGGCCAGCGGAGGCTGGGCCGGAGCAAGAGCGAGGTGGGGAAAGTAACTGACATAAGCTCCACTTCAGATAGTTCAACTTTGAATCAGAGCGAACTTCGCTTGTCTTTTGTGACGCGTTGAAAACTTTTGCGGACAATCGGATGGGCCTGGTTTTGTGACATGGTAAAGTGGCCAGGGGACAGCATGAGAATGTGTGGCTACCCTTCTTTTCATGTTGACGTAAGAGACGCCACCAGTTCCATTTATCCAGCTGTCTTGCCCTAACCTTATCACATCGCCTTCTCTGACAAGCTGAGGACAATGTATTGCAGACTCGAGTTGTTTAGAGGAATCTGACGGATGCAATGATGCATATCCAGCTAGCTCCGAACTTCTGCAGAAAAGTGGTCGGGTTACAAATCTTGAGACCTGACGTGAGGAACTTTGATTCATGTGTTTGCACTTTGCAGCTGGCTTGCGCAAAGATGCACCAAAGTCGCCATTAAGATCATCTTTGCCAGGTAGTGATCTTGCAATCTTTGTGGAATCCACTTTGTCTCTGCTGTTCCGACTCGCATCTGACCACGTGTCTGCACGATACAGCTGGCGTGTGCAAAGATGTACGAGATCGCCATCCAGAAGATCAATGCCCGGCAGCAGGAAAAGGAGCGCGAGGCAGAAGAGGCCGCCAGGCTGGCCAAGAAGCGGGGCTTCAAGGCTTACAAGGTCAGTAGCGATCAGGACTCTCTTTGACCGCCAGCAGGTTTTGACAGCTCATCCGTGGGAGTGCAACCAGGCATCTGTCCACGTATGAGTACTCCGTCAGTTGGTCCGCATAACGTATAAGCTTTGTGCTCAGCTACACGTGTTAGTGCCAGCCCTTCTGGAGCAACATCGGTTTTGTGCTTGGAAAATGTAGGAAAATGTCATGATCATGAAATCATCCATTCAAGCCCGTGAAATCAACAACGAAGTAACAACTAGAAACATGCCACCTGAGAATATGTTAGCAGCTAAGCTACTGGCTGATGTGTCTCGGAACAAAACGCCGTTGACGTCTGCGTTGCGGGGCAAATATCTACTGCGTATTTGTGGATCCAACACGAGCGACAACGCGACCAATTTATTTCTAAGACGATTTGACGAGAATCCTGCAAACGTGCTGTACACCAGCGGTCTGTTGTAGCCTCATGCATCTGGCCGGATACTTCCCGTCGGAGCCTCACTAAGCTCCGTTCCTAGAGAAGCTTGTTCGTTGTCTGATTAATTGATACTCTCGTCCATGCAGAAGTCGAAGCAGATTGCGAAAGGCCGGCTTCAGGATGCCAACCCGTTCGACTACTCGGAGATGCTGTACAATGAAGCCAAGTAAGGGCTTAAATCAAGCTGGGGTTTCCCAGCCCCTATCCAAGGCTCATGTTTCTGAGTTTTTGAAAGTGAGATCTGCACCTAGATGACAGAACGGGCATTTGGAGTTCATTTCCACGAGAAGTTGGACAGAGGATTCGTGCCTGAGATCAGCTTTGTTAGTATACGGTCACTGAAACGCAGGGTCCTTGAGACGTGCATCTTCGAGGATACGGCCCGGAACGGGCAAATCTCTCGTGCTGCTGGATAACGTCAGCCTTGGCTCATCCGGTAGACAAGAATTTCATGGAGGTTTGAAAAGCAATCTCTGGGAAGACCGAAAACAAGCCCCCTCCAAAATGGCTGGTTTGGACGGGCGTGCAGGCAGGTTGAGAAGCGGAAGCGCGCGCTGCTGGAGGTGCTGGAGGCGGAACGGAACATGGAGCTGGCGGAATGCACGTTTGCGCCAGACTCGATCGGAACAAGACCAAGAAAACAACCTTTTTCGACACTGTTTCTTTGACGCGCGTGCAGGCAGATCGAGAAGCGGAAGCGCGCGCTGCTGGAGGTGCTGGAGGCGGAACGGAACAAGGAGCTGGCGGAATGCACGTTCGCCCCGAAGGTCAAGCCGTTCGTGCCGCTCTACACGGCGCGGCACGCGGGCGCGCCCGTCGTCGAGCGGATGCAGAAAATGGTGGACGAGCAGCGGGCGAGGATACGAGAGGTGGGGACGGCTGGACGACTCTCTTTTTCTTGCCTTTGGTGTTTGGAAGGGTAGAATTCTTATAAGGCAGGAGTGGGCTTTTGCCAAGGTGGTGAAGGAACAAGGACGAGGATAGGGATTCCGCATAACCAAGGTGAGCTTCCTGCCAACGAATGCTCGTAGCGCGACCTGTGCTTGCACTTGAGTCCTGATCTGCACGATCACAATCAGTCGACAAACTTGAGGTCGTTGATGTCTTAGTATTGATCACGCTGAGTCTGCCTGCTTGGAGCAAGTCAGCCGCCGGAGAGGCGCTTGGCAAGACGGCCAAGCCTAGGCGCATTACTTGAAAAAGGTCCGGTGGTTCCGCCAGCCTATACTGGGTGATTGCCAAGAAGGTTTGAGATTTGCTTGCATCCCTCGCATATTCCTCCGCTTCAGTAACGTCATCTTCCTTCTTGTTTCAGATGCGGGAAGAAACGGAGAAGGCAAGGGCAAAAGAGCTCACGTTCAAGCCGACCATCAGCGAGACCGCCAAGCGGGTGAGGTTACCATAAGGAACTAAAGTTTTTGGCAGCAATCATGACATAGCAGTCTGCTCAAAACCCGCGCACCGTCTGAAGGAGTTGTAGAGCTACCAGCGCTGAGAATACTGGACACCCTTGCTACAGCCTTATGAGAGTTCTTGACCCTTCTATCTAACTCAGCAAAACACATATGCGTTTTTACGCACTTCGTTTTCACGAAAGTAGTCTCGAAGTGTCACAGCTTCTAGATGCGGAGGTAAGAGGCACGACCGGGATTCGGGCAGACGCTGTTTACTTTGGGGGACAGTCAGCGACTGTAATTATCATCGTCGTCTTCAGACCGTGACACGCGTCAATATTAAATATGTTATTTTGGGTTCGATTGGTTAGGTCAAGGATTGCATACCTATGGACTTTTTACAATCAAGATTTAAAAATATATATATAAAATAATTTTTACTTCCCTTTTTCAAAAGAGACGACTGCTGATTTTGCAGGCGGGCAGTGCTGGAGGTTTCCTGAAAAGGACGAGGGACCACATTTGGAAAAAGCAGGTAGAACAGGAGCGGGCGCAGCAGGAGATCCAAGCGGAAGCGTCGCTCAAGGTACAGTCGGCCCTTGTATTACATAGTACAAATCTGAGGAAATTGTCGAAATCAGATGGGCGTTTACGCAGTTGCGTGCTTTTATTTGGAAGGTCTGGAAGATGCAGAGGAGAGACCTACCTATTTCGAAAGCACACCTGTCATATCCTTCCTATATCTGAAGGGCCAATCTGTATCTGGTGCCTCAAAGGGTCTTGGAAAGTTTTCTGTAGCTCAACGGCATGCCCTTAATATGTGGGTAGAGGAATTTGGGACAGTTGAGTCTCCGTTTCAAGGTTTGCCGAAGCACTGGTACTTTCAAATGGCCTTAAAGCAGTAAACTTGGGAGGGGTTCTACACCAGATTTTAATCTCAACTTGTTCTAAATCCAAACATCGTCAATCCAATTCTTCTTTTGCAGTCGGTCCCGTCAATCAACAGCTACTCCAAGGCGTTGGAGCTCGACGAGCCCGTTCACCAAAGGCTCTACAGGTACATCTCAACATCGATTCTAATCTGGGTATCACTTAGTCCAACTGCTCTGCCAGGAGTGTTCTCAGAAATGCTTTATCCGGCGTCAGGCGAGAAGTGCTTTGATCTGCGGCCTCCCCGCTCCAATTCAAGCTCGCGGAGAGACACTCCCTTCCCAGCAATCTGTGATTCTTGACCCACGTCTTAAACTGAGGTCTTGTACCGGTTGAATTCCGCAATAACTCTTGCACTTCTTCCCCGACGCCATCGCAACTCTTGCACGCCGTTTCCATCAGAACGGTCAAACCAAAGCAGCGAAACTCTCGGGCTCAGACGTATGTAGTTTGATCGCGCATGTCAGGAACTGCATGCGATTCGCAGAATGTTAGAAGGTGCCACTATCCTGTATACCTGCCACTTCCAACGCTAGACACACGAATAATCAATCCAGAAAGGTCTTGTGCTTCCAGGCAGCGGACCTCTAAATTGATAATCGTCACACGGGTTGCGTCGAGCATCTTTTCTCTGACGCAGCGCATCGGATGATTGGAAACCTTCGGATCCTGTTGATTTGTCAGCTCTTGAACCCAAACCAGAGCCGTGCTGAACGAATCCACTTTCTCAAAATGCAGGTCGGCACGCTTGAAAGAACAGAGGTCCTATGAGGAGCAAGAAAACCGGTTGCACGGTGAGTGTTTCCGGTGCATGCAAAATCTCTCTTTGCAACGCGGCCATCGCTTGAAGTTCTTGCCGTGACCGAAGCATGGGAAAAGGCAGGGACATTGAGAGATGTCTCTTTCGTTCAGGTTCTACCTTGCCGTGATTCCATCCCGACAGGAATTGCAACAAAGCCGCAAAGCGATAAGACGTGGCTCTGCGCCGTGCATCAAGCATGTAAAAAGCGTTTCAAAGGTCAACGCGAAAGTCGATTCACTGTGTCCGGCGTTGACTCGGAGAAAGTCTCACAACGGCTCGTTCCGCTGCAGAGACCGAGGTTCCGGCCGCAGTCCTGCCGGAAGACGAGATCCTGCAGGCGACGGAGAAGCTATTTGGCGACGAGGACGAGAAGCGGCGGCGGCTCGCGGCCGCGACGCGCGCGAACCTAGAAAGGACCCTGTCACTGGCGACGGTCAAGAAGATTAACCAGACGAGCGTCGAGTATGCCAAGCGGAAGCTAGAAAAGGTGGGGAAGGTTTGCGCGTTGGCGTCTAGCAAGAGATCTTTGCTCTTCTTTTCGTAGGTTGAGTCTGGTTTGGGCTCCCGCCCTGTGTAGTTGCAGCAAACTGGAAGGTGCAAAGCAGAAATCCTTTCCATCTCGACTTCCTGAGGAGCTGTTGGCAGATCCGCGGATAGTTCGTGATCCTTATGCAAGGGCCTCTACTGTCGTAGGGCACCTTTAAAACGTCAACGCCCTAGGTCTTTAGAACTGGGTTGACTCTCATTGTGAGGGCAGCTGCACGGTTTACAAGTCGCTTGCGTAGGGAGCAATACCGACTCCTTCGTATGCCCTCCCATGTCATGAAGTTTGATCGCGTACTGAGCCATTCGGTCATAGATGTGCAATCTGTATCTTTACGTTTCTGCTTTCGAACTCGTTATCAGCTCGGAAGCCAGTTTCCACAAATTTGCCATTACCTTCAAACCCCTGTTGGCGATAAGACGTGCGCGCTGCATTTGCAAACTGGATCCCAAGCGCTCGAGGATTGTGGGCGGGGGAAGATCCGTGAGTGTTCCACGAGAGAAGGTTTGTTTCTACACTGAAACCCCCAAACCGTCAAACCTGAAACCAAAACCCAGAATCCTGTCCGTAACAGGACGTGCGCGCTGCGTTTGCAGAAGTTGACTCCAAGTGCTCGGGGCTCGTGGGCGGGCAGAGATCCCAATTGGTATTCGAGAATCGAACGTGTTCCACGCTACCCCGCTAAACCACTCGGATCGAAAACCCCAGAACGCTACTCCCCAATGCCTCGTCCGTGGCAGGATGTGCGCGCTGCGTTTGCGGGAGTCTATCCCGAGTGCTCGGGGATCGTGGGCGGGGCGGAGATCCGGTCGGTGTTCCTGAGGCCGAAAGTCTTTTACAGTTAACCCTAAATAGTTGAACCCTCGAATACTTGCTCGGCAGGATGTGCGCGCTGCGTTTGCGGAGGTGGACCCCGAGTGCTCGGGGATTGTTCGCCGGGCGAAGATCTGGTCGGTGTTCCAGAAGCTGAATGTCTGTACCCGCTCCGCACCCAAACCCACCCTAATCCCCAAGCTAATCCCACCCGTCCCAGGCTGCTTAGCTTACTTTACCTGAAGTTTACTTTACCTAAAGCTTGCTTTACCTAAATCGAAGTCTTATGTCACGTAGATAAGCCTTCAATTTACGCTAACCCTGTATCCCGGAAAGCATAAAATCGTAAGATCTTAACGCCCTGTCCATGACAGGACTCGCACGCTGCATGTGCGGAAGTGGACCCCGTGTGCCCGGAATTGATGGGCAAGGCCGAGACCCAATGAAGATTCTAGAAGCTGGACGTCTTTTACCCAGTCTCTCTACATCCCTGAAAGCCAGAAATCCTTAAAGCTCAGACCCCGTCCGTGGCAGGATGTGCGCGCTGCGTTTGCGGAAGTTGACCCCGAGTGCTCGGGGATCGTAGGCGGGGCGGAGATCCGGTCGGTGTTCCAGAAGCTGAACGTCTTCCACCCGCCCGGGGCGAGGAAAAACCGGGAACGCGAGAGGAGCGAGCAGAGGATTCTGGACAGAGCACGGGAGTTGATGCCAGGGCGGGCGGGCATTGGGGTGGACACGAAGGCTTTCCTAGGGTGGGTATTGCAGTTTGATTGAATTTTGGCTTTCGAGGCATGTTTTCACGTCCGAAAGCATCCGCCGTCTGTGTAATCGACCAGACCAGGTCGGCCGGCGACAAACAGCCCTTAAGGTAAACTCCCGCTTCTAGTGCCCGGGCGTCGAGACCAAGGGTTTCCTTGTGCAAGTGCTGCTTTGAAGACGTTTGCCTCCTTTTACCGCTGAAGATTGGTGCGGATAACCTTTGTTTGCTAGAATTGGCGCAAGTAAAGGATAGAGCCCGGGAGCTGATGCCTGGGCGGGCGGGCATTGGGCGTTGACACCAAAGCGTAAGCATTGCGTTGAAACGTCCGCATGTGCTAATGGTTGTCGACAACGGATGTCTTCGTTTGCCAAAGCAATAGCGATCAAATTGCGGCGACGGGTTTACGCAAAATAGTAAACACATGGCTAAGTCCTCTGATAGACTGTACCCACGAGTTCGTACGGAAGGAGCCGCTTCCACTTGCTGCCCATTTCTAGCTTTGAACGCGCATCTCTGACGTCAGCAGACGAGCAGATTGAGGGAATTCGTGGTAGGCCCAGCTAGACAGAACCAAAACGACCAGGCGACAAGATGGAACGGCTGAAAAATAAGAGATTTCTCGAAAGCAAAACGCCAAGGCTCCGAAAAATTCGAAAGAAAAAAAGGCGACAAATGGTTTGACAACAAAAGCGTCCTCGAGACGTCGACTGTTTCGAAAGCGCACGATGAATACAATCAACAAGAGAGCATGCAGGGACAAGACCAGCGTGATTGGTTCCATCCTTGAGTTTAGATGATCTTGACGATTAATGACAGTTCACCCCTTTTAATCCCCAGGTTCATGGAGTTGGTGGTGGAGCATTCTTTGCAGCAGCAGAGGGCGTCTCTCGACGGCGGGGCCAAGGAGCAAGCCGAGACAGAAAAGCCGTTGAGCCCTCTGGATAAGGTGAGAGGCCGTGCCAGGTTTCTCAATCTCGACGACTTTGAAAGTTTGCGGAAAAGTTTGCGGGGGCCGGGTCGAAGCTTGGGTTCACCACTCTAGCTGCTGCGAGGTTTTCTCCGAACAGCAGCTCTCATGGCGAAAAGAAGGAGGGTCTGAGAATGACGCGAGAAGGAGCCGGACCGCAAAACAGATGCTTTCAAAGGAAGGTTCATGAGTTTTTCGTTCCAATTTTATGATCATCTCAGCGTCATCTGTGCTTCTTGCGCTCTACTTAGAAGAGGCCTTGTCTGCTTGTTTTAGATGAGTCGTGTACAAGTGGATGAGCTAGGTATGTTCAGCATCCGGAGGTTATGTCAGCTGTTCGGCTCATGACAGTGTCTCATGGTCCTCGAGCAACGCTTTCTATGTCGTCGCTAAATGAGTCTTGCATCAGGACCGCAGAAGTATGTAATGCTGACTGTGCCGACGCTTGTTCGATGAACAACTCCTTTTAGATACCAGTGAAGCGTGGCCCGTAATCAGGTAGTCGGAATCATTGGTCGCTCGGTATTGAGCGGCAAAGCCGGCTGACTGGCCGCATTCTTGTTGTGTTCCAAATTTCTGACATGAGCGAACCATGAAAAAGGGGTTTCTTTCTCAACCCTTACTTAAACCCCGCAGCTCGCGCGCGACATCGCGCGCCGCAGCTTCCACCGCCTCTCCTACACCCAGACCAAAGTCCTGCGCGAGTCCAAGCCCAACTGCCCCCCAACCCGCGCCGCCGAAATACGAACGTCGTCACGACCGTTACCGTTTACGCCGTCGCTCTCTCGGCCCGCCGACCCTAGTTTTCCCCTCCCGATCACCGCCCACGTCGACCGATCGAAAACCACGTTCCGGTGGCAAAGCAAAACGGGGGAGCTGGCGCTGGTTCCGGTTCCGGGGGAAGACGTCCCGCGGAGCCCCACGCGCGCGCAGCAGGAGGCGCACGCGGACGCGATCCTGAGGAAGGGCGCGCGCGCGCGCGAGCGCGTCGCGGCGCTGAGGACGGAGCTGGAGCTGCGCGAGCGGGAGGCGTGCACGTTCCGGCCGGCGCTCGTGGCGAGCCCGCGGAAGGTGCGCGCGGCGCGGAACCGGCGGACGAGCGTACGGAAGGTGAGCTAGACGGTCTGAAAGAAAGGCATTTCAAACGGAGAGACGCGGCAAGGCCGCAATTCCCTTGCCGCTTCCTCTGTACGGTAGGAGGGGGATATCGAGCTGGGAGAATTCTGAGGCTGCATCCATCCATTCGAATGACGCTTCTGAAGTCGACTTAATCCTTTCAGACGTTTTGCCTACTTCAACGGTAAGCCGAAAAGCCTGCACGTAAAAATCCCTGCTGAAACTTTTAGGTCTCATTGGCGCGTCTTCCGTCGGTCGCACAGATCCGTGGGCATACCGAAAAAGCATGAGATCAAGTTTGAATCCTCTTTCGAACAATGCTTGTGAACTCGACTCGTTCCTTTCAGACGTTCTGCCTGTTTCGACAGCAAGCCCCTTAAATCCTGAGATTACCTGACATGCTGAATCCTGAACCCTCAGGAGCCGCCCCCGCCGACCGCGGTCACCAAAGAGCTGCGGGAGATGGGCGAATGTACCTTCCGCCCAAAGACACTGCCAAAGGCCCCCAGGTAAGCGAGATATCCTCGCGTTGGTTATAACTTCTTCCCGTTTGCAGCCTCGCATCTCGGGTCCAAGTTTGCTTGAGTATACGTCGGTTCGAGATAGACAGCGTCGGAGATCTGTACACTTCCAAAGGCATGAGTGGTTGCAGACTCCGGCGGGCTGGATTACCGCTGAGAATTTGTTGTCAACGTGAAATTGAAGGCTGTTGTCGGTCTTGAGATATGAGGTTTCAGGTAGATCAGAACGTCCGTGCTGTGCGTAGTAGAATCAACACATCGAGCGATGTCTTGTCTAGAACTTGCTCGAAGTCAGGTGCCAAATGGGTCGCAGTAAGATGATCACTGTCATCTGTGTGGTCCCGCCGACAGTCAAGTGGGGTCAGTGCTGGTTTGGACTTGCTTAATCGGGATGTTCTCAAAAGGACCTACAAGCAAGCGCAAGCTCTCTCGGGAGATCCTCGACAGAGACGATTTTCCCCTTGACCGGAGTTCGAATATTTCCAGAAGGAAAAGGGGGCTCAGGTTCTGCCCAGAGATGCTGTAAGCAAAAGAAGAGAAACAAAGGTCATTGGCGTGACGAAGCGGACACTATGAATGGGTTCGCAACCCAACCTCTTGCAGACCTCGTTTCTAGCAGCTCATCAAAGACTGCGCAAAAGAAGCCGGCCCCCTCCCCTGACTATAAAATTCTTTTTGTCTAGCTTCTAAATTCGTCCATTTTGGCAATCTTTTCAGGAACCCAGCGGCGAAAGCCCCCGCGCTGTTTGACCGGTGCATCGAGCGCATGCGCCGGGGCCACGCGCGGCGGCACCAGCTGCGGCACTGGCAGGACACCAGGATTCCGGAGGTCAGTAATCACAGTCTCGATTCGCATTTTTGTGTCAATGTTCAGTGGTTTGAGAGTTTCAATTCTTTTGGATATCCAGAGCTTGCAGGACACCAGAAACTTGGAGGAATCTACTTTACCACTAAACTGCCCGTTCTTAGTCTTGCTCAGTCTCCCCTCCAAAACTATCTTCCAGCGCGCAAACTTGCATCGGCGGGCTTTCGACAACCAACGGCTAAATGCAACCTCGCCTTAGACTTTGCAATCGCCCCAACGGCCACAGATGCCACTGGATCCTGCACCTGCGTATTTCCGCAGCTTCAAAAGACGCATTTTTATGTTCTTGCTTTGTTTGAGCAAGCTAACCGCAGCCCTTGCAAAATCCAGCATCCTTTGGCCTCATTAAAGGCCTGTGGCAAGTTAGCGGCATTTGACGTTTTTTCTATTGGTTCCGGCAGGACTTGGCGGACGAGACGCGGGTGTACAAGCGGAAGGAGACGCGGACGGAACCGGAGCCGTTCCAGTTCGTTCCGGGACGGAAGCGGGCGCCAATTGTGTACATAGAAGTCATCCTCAGCAAGTCAAGGTGAACGCTCCCGGTCAATCGGTTTCGCGAATCTGGGATTTGCGACGTCGGAGTAGAGACTTTGGGTAATCTTATCCGGATTTAGCAGTCAAACGTCCTGCTTTTCGGGTGTTGCTCTCAAAATCATCAGTCAGAGGAGTACTTGTTGGAGAGTCCTAGGGGACAGGATATTGAGGACGGTTCAGAAGTAACACGCTCTACTCGATCCTGCTAGTGACGTAAATATTTGGGTGTGCCTCCAGTCTCTGATTAATAATTGCGTGGTAGAGACACGTGACCAGCTTGTCCTTCAGAGAGTAAGAGGCCCATTGGTGCCCGCGCGCGAAGTTATGAGTAGGCACATCGGTCAGTGTCGGACCGTCTTTAGACGTGTCGAGGGCCCCGCTTGCTTGGTATATACAGCATTTCTCGTTTAAGCAAGAAATTCAGCGCCCGGCCTTTCAACCCAAGAACTACCAAGCATATCGTGCCCGAAGCTCTCGCGAATCGTTCCAGGCTCCGCTCAGCTCCGCTTGAGATCAAGGAGGCGCGAGGCGGCCTCTGATCTGGCCAACGGCGCCCGTCATTCCTCTGGTCAAGTAAATACGTAAAAGCAGACGTTTCACCCCCGTTCTGCCGCCTTTATAAAACGTGAACCTGATCCGGGTTTCCGGGCTTTTCAGGGTTGCCCGGATTGGCATCGAGCGCGGCGACAAGCCCGAGAAGATCGCCGCCAACTTCGCCAAGATATACGACCTCGACGACCAGGCACGTGCCCACCTCGCCACCGTCATCCGCAAGTCCGTCGAGGTCAGCTCCTGCGCGAGCTTCCATTTCCGCTCCTGTCCTCGTTTTCCGCCTGCTTTTCGCCTCCACTTAGTCGGTTTTCAAATGCTTAACTTGCTTTCATCTGCAACTCTTCCAAGTTTAACACCCGCACGGGCTTCTGTCCTCGAGTATGTCCTCGTTTTCCGCCCCGCTTTCTCCGTCCCATTCCTCGATTGCAGGCTTATTTCTTCATTTCTTATCCCGTTCGCGCTTCCGTGCATATTCGCTCTCCTTGTGCGACCCGCTGGATCGGGTGCACATTGCGGCCTAGGACTGCGGGCGGGTCGCGAATTGAAATAAAAACACGGTTCCATGCAATTTTGACTTCTCATTTGAGGAAGTTTAGGAGCATGCTGCTCAAAAGGGACACTTTGAGAAGCACCGCAAGAATTCTATCCACTCCGTTTCATGGCGAGTTTAAGAATTCGCATCTAGAAAAGGAGGAAATGGCAAGCGTCCGGCTTTTTGGCGTCTGCCGGTGAACTACAGTTTCTTAGGGTTATCTTGACTTGTCCATCTTCTCGGTGCTATAGCCATCCAACGGTTCGCAACGCAGCGTCCCCGTAAAAAGAGCAAAGGCAACTAGTGTGTTGAGACAATGGTCACGCCGCTTTGCAAAATCGAACCAACCGTTTCCGCATCTGTGTACCCAGAGCCTAAGGAACCAGATAGCTGATAAAGGCTTCTCGTCATTCGTCTTCGCTCACACGCTCAACGAGACTGAGAGGTTTTTACCCCCCGCCTCGGCCGATACTTTGCAGGACATCAAGACGCAACGAGAACAGTCGGAGAAGGCCCTCCAAGAGAACCTGCGGAACGCCGAGCTCGCGCTGGCCCGTCGCTTGTCCGGGCTCATGCGGACGTCAGACGGAGGGTCCGCTGACGTCAGCGGAGTGGAGGAGAATCCAGGAGCTGGAGTCCGGACGGGTCGGCCGTCTGCGGAGCGGCTGAGCAGGGACGGAGGGACGCAGGTTGTAGTCGGGTCGGTTGAAAATGGGACACGTGGCGGAGAGGGGGAGGCTGGGATTGAGGTTGGGACGGGAGTAGAAATTGATGGGGTCGTAGTGACAGAAGTTGAAGATCTAGACGAGATGGGAGAAGTAGATGCAGATTTCGCGGCAGAGGAGACGGATGGGGTGAGTTCGGAGATAGAGGACCATGAGTGAGCAACGAGGCACTTCTGCCTCATTGGAAAGGCACCTAGGTATGGCTTATTTACAAGTTTCCTAAGGAATACCAGGATTCCCCTTTGTGGGAGAGCATATCGTAGCAGGTTGGCCTTACAGCACGGAAGCGCTTTGTCTAGTAGCCGACTGGCCGCTCCTCATCTAGATCGAATTTGCTGTATCAACCAGCTATTGTGACGCGGTTGATGACAAACCAAGAGCGACGGTACGAGCCCGATCATCAGCGGAAGGATCACTGAATGAGGCGACTTGAAAGCAAGAACCAGCGCCAGCTTTCCAAACAGCCCAGCCCGGCAGAGAGATTGCCACCGCCACATCAGCTAGATGCATTCTACTGGTACATTAAATGGTATGCGCTTTCCCGCGACGTGGCCCCCGACTTGGAAGCTTAGGCTGATGTGGTTACAAAGGTTGCATACTAACGCTATACTTCCGTGTCTGTGAGTGGACTATATCCGGTTACTTTTGCAGATCCGGTCGCAATTGCTTTCGTACCTGTCGGATCATGACGACACTCATGGTAGCGGCTTGCAAAACGCAAATTGCATGCGTGTACGTCCTGAATGACAGATATTCATTTTGGCGGCCGGCGGGCGGGCACGTCGAGAGCTTGCAGATGCACTGACGCCATGACGATCGGATCATGATATATAGACATTGACTCAGTATCCTCTAGCCTCTCCGCTCCATCTTAAGCAAGAGTACTGTTGATGACTCATGCATGTGTGCAAGGTTCCGCGACGTGGGGCGGGGCACCCTGAATGCGACCGCGCGCGCGCGCAGGCCGGCAGCTCAATTATATTAACCGCCAGCTGGCCCCGGGGCTAGCCTTGCATGGGTAGCCGGGCTATATAGCCCATGATGCACGTCTGATCGTTGATCATTCTGCCTTATAACCTTCGGGTTATATCAGTCCCGATGGATCTGATCATACAGAGCGATGCTCAAGTGGCATGCATGTGGCAATTGCATGAAATGATCCGCGCGCTCATGTTCCGTTACATGGATTGTACGTAAGCCATATAGCTGCTCGGGGGACTCAACGATAGATTCAGGAAAGACGGTCCTTCATGCATCTCCTCATTCGGCGCAAACGTTGAAAATATTGCCAGAAACGGTATGGTTTATGACAGTGATTGACTGTCCAACACGAGTCCCTAATGAGCAGCTTCAGAGCACTTCTTGACGCCACACAAACCAGTGCGCACATACTATCATATTCGAGCTCAAAATATGTTGAGCACCTATAAAGTTTCTGCCGGATACCTCCTTCTTAGTATGAGCACGGCCAGATGCATGAAATACTCAATCACTGCCGCAGACAGTCTTGATAAGGGTTTTACACTACGTTGAATCACCAAAATCTATTGGACAATCCACTGCACCAAACACGTATATGTACAAAGTTTTCCTCTAATTTGTGCGCCCTGTTCAACTTGCTTCTACTTGAAACAGATCAGATTGAAACAAAGTCAACAAAAGATTGATCAATGATGACGCCGGCCCCCACAGTGAGGACACAGTATTCGGCCGGACCCGCCGCAACCTGCATGCAACGAGGCACAAGCTTAACATGAGGGGGCGCATTGAAGCCAGCAGGACGTAAAAAGCACCTTAAGGTCACCTATTGCAGTGTATCTTCACTAAACCAGAAGGTTTGTTAATGAAAACAAGTCGAGGGGAGCATCGAGAATCTCCAAGTCAGACCATCAAACTTCCCAGATTGTGGAAACTTGGCCTAGGGTGAAGGGCAAACACCTCGCGGGATATAGCTTGCACCACAGGGAAACACACAAATCGGTTAAGGTAGCATTAGATTTCCGGGGGCCCTGAGCACAAGCCTCCCGAGCTCTAGGATCTCGAAGCTGACCTTCAGACAATATTCAAGGCCTCCTGGTGCCCAGCCTTCTCTTTCTCCTCTCCCCTTTCCACCACCTATTCAACTCTGTAAGGAACATCGCAAAACAACCAAAAATCGAAGTTTGAATCAGTGGAGCAGAATCTATAACTCACCCAAGCACGTCACCTTCACAATCACCCCAGCGCTTTCCAAACACGGCTCCACGTACAGCCCCGACCCCGCACACGTCATGCACTCTATGGAACCCTCCCTATCGCACCAACTGCATTCCTCTCCCCCCGTTCGAACTGAAATTGTCGGCGCGGCTACAGTTACCCCCCTGACCTCTGCCGCCTTGCTGGTGTCAAGGACGGGGTCTCGGGGGTTTTCAACGGCAGACATCTGGTAAACCGACTCCAGGACATTCCGGGTGCGCTGGAGCTTGACACCGGGGTTCGACCCCGGTCGGTTGTCCTACACAAAATGCACGCGCAGTGTCAGCCTGGATCAAGACCTGAAGTTCAAGACAAGGTTGACTGTCCTCGTCCAACTGTCGGCAAAAGCGTGTCGGCAGGCAGCGTACCTGTTTTGATTGGTGGTGTACTCCTTAAGGTGTCAAGATAAATGGTTGCTTTTATAAGATTCGCTCGATGCAGTCTTTCAAGCGCACGTCAGTGAGAGCTTGACCGGGCACTGATCTTGCAAGTCTTCCCCCGCAGGACGTTTGTGTTTGTTCCTCAACTCCTGTTGTCACGCTTACATGGTGTCACCCGCATGACGTTCTGCGGTCACCTTAACCAACCCTAATCTGGCCTCTTGCTAAGATCCGACTTGAGATAACAAGCAAGTGCTAGCTAGTTTGCACGCTGAAACTTGCGACATTCTGAACCAGGATGCCCGCTTTGCCTCCATCTGTCACTACTACGGTACATCAATCTGACCAGCGACACCATGTTGTGCCCCATAAAATACATAAGAAACACTTTCTGCATATTAAAGCTTGGTCGTAGCAGTGCCCTATATCCAGTCAGGATACGTCACGACACGAGGGCCACAATGGAGCTTTGGAACGTGCTCCATGACAATCTGCTTTCCTTAGAAACAATCACCCGTGCATGGACGTCATCATACAGGAGCGTATATGCCGCTTCTTAGAGAGCCGCCATCTCCACATTGGTACACGGTGGTCTTTTTCTGGTCCAAGGAACGATGAGAGGGAGGAGCCACTCGATTCTTCGGACTGAGAACACAACAAAACGACTTGATGCGCGCGCAGCCGGCATGACTGACCTCTGAAAGGCTGCTCCTCAGCAGGGTCGAAGGACTCCGCTGCATGCCTCTGCAAAGACGGCAGATTGGAGCCGCCATAAAGGGCGATTGATCAGAGCGGCTGGTGGAGGCATCTGAAATTATGCCCTGCAAAACCCCTTGATGAGGAGCTCGCACAGACTTTGCCATCGTATATCCTGCAACCCTGATGAATAGGTACCAAATCTGTTGCCTAGGTAAAGAATCTAATAGTAAGAAAAGCCTCCCTGCTTTTGAAACACACCCACTTTTGGAACTTGAAAGGGATGTGCAGTGCAAATATTGGATCTAGGTATAGCCGGTTGAGTGGATTCGCATTGACTACTAGGAGTGGCGGTAAAAGCTGGGGATGGAGACTTAGCCTTTACCACTTCATGTTGGTAATGGAAGTGGAATCTCGATTCGGCTACCACGTGGCATTTGGTGATTTGACCGAAGTTCGTCACTCATGTCGTCACTCAGGATTCTGCGCACACTGAATTTGCACCTAGTGGCAAGTTCAGGGCGCCAAATGGATAAGTTCACTGTCACCTCCGAGTCCTTGAGACCAGGTTCATGCACCGCGCTTGTGCTCTTACGAGCTCAAACTTCAAAGCAACAGAACACCGCTTTCATTCTAACTACTCTAGCTTCCTCTCCCGCCATTAAGAGAATCTAGGACTAGGTCCACGTCCGTGTACTTTCGAAAAGACTCGAGTTCGCGGAAGTCTTCATCCTCATCTTTCAGATACTTGCATTGCTTCACTTGCATTGCATTCTTTCCTTTCAAACCACTGTCAAACTCAAATTGCCCTTCCTGGCACTTGCAGAATCCGTCCCACCACCTTACTGGTGCTAGCGCCCTCTCCCCACTCAAGTAGTACTAGTATTAGCTGCACTAGTGCAGCTAGTCTCGTGCAGCTAGTCTCGGTGGTCTTCTCCCACAATGGCGCCAACAATCAGAGCTGCTCAGCTTGCAGCGATACTGCTAGTGTTCCTGGCGTGCTCCGCCCCTGTGCTGGCCCTGAACAACGTGGTGACGCAATGGAACGTCAGGTACCAGGGCGTGGTCAGATCACTCTCCATTGCCAACCAGCAGAGCTCGAAGTACTTTGCGGAGCTGCATTTGGCGCAGGTGAAGGAACTTCTCCGAGCTCAGTGACTGTGATGTTGGCTTTAGTGGTGAATCTCAGCTGAGTCAGCATGTGTGTTGATGGTCAGATTGTTAGAAGGTACTCGTCCAGTCAGAAGGTGCTCCCAGGTTGGATAGACGGGAGATAATTGGTTCAAACTACAGAAAAAGGATTATGAAGGTCTTCACTGCACTCAGTTGCAAGCACCTTTGCTTCTACAGAAAGGAAGCAGTACTTCGAGGGGAATTGACTAACATGATGTGTTGACTAATACAGCCCTCAAATGACTGTCATGCTGCTCACTTTTCAGAGTCAGCTGTCAAACACCAGTAGCATCAGACAGTCTGTAAAAGGTGTTTACTCAGAACCAGGCTCTCTTCTTGCAGTACTATGCTGTCCTGCTGGCGGCGCCATCTGGCAGTAATGCTTCAACATCAGAAAATGTCGCTGTGAATGCCAGCGCGGCTGCTGCCTACGCTGGACACTACATTCTGTCCGCAACCTTCCCATTCCAGCAACCAAACTTCGATGCCCTCCTGAAGTCCCAGGTAACATCCCCTGCTTGCCCCGTCAACTAGTTCCTTTGTAGAGCGACGACTGAAAGAGTTTGAATCGCCAAGGGGGGTGCAAGCTCCACTAGGGTCTAAACGGTATTATGGCATGGATAATGCATGTTCATCTGACAATATCTCTTCGTAAAGCCTGTGCATTGGACAGGAGGCCTTTGAATGCCAAGCTGAGTACTATGAGAACGGTCTTTACGAAAAACCTGTCGACCAATCCGTGCCTACATATCCAGAATGTAACGGATTCATCTTCTTTAGAGGTGCAGTCAAATATTTTTACAGAGCATCCCCAAGAATCAGAGCCGATGCTAACATGAGATACTTCCAGAGTGCTTACTTGTGCAGCTAATATCTTAGCTTCCCTTCTGCTCAATTTCCCTTCTTCATCTGCCTTACTCCAAGCTCAGCGCTTTCACTTCCTCTTGACGTCAGGTAGGGGGATTGAGCTCTGCTGACAGGACTGCCGCTCACGACCTTGGGGTCAAGGTGGCAACCAAGATCATAGCAGCAAGGTAAGTACTACCGTTGCTTTATTACGTCCTTGTCCTCTGAAACATTGCCAGCCAGTATACTGAAACGAAGGTTGAAACAAGCATCAAAGCGATACATTCAGTTGCTTGCTTCTCTGATGAGATTCCCGAGTACAGAGTTCGCCTTTCAACTGCACCTCAGCGAGTTCCTGCTCTTGACACCATGATCCGGATGTTGAAAATTAAGATGCTTGTTGAATGCGTCCGCTTACAGGGGAGGTGTAAAGCCTAAAGTAGCCTGCCACAAGTGAACAGAGCTCATGAAGGTTTAGCTCAATCTGACGGATTGGGCGAAAGTGAACTTCGTCCTAAGTTTTCAGAATCTTCCGCACAATATCTGCGCAAAATGTGACCTTCTACATACAAAGTTTTCCTAATGCGGATTCGTTAATCTAAATATATTAATCAAGCCCTACTGAAGCTGAAAAATGCTTCGAGCCGAACCCTCTTAGAACGCTCTCAAAGGAAATGTTGTTCGTGCTTTTTCCAGATGCTGATCAGCTGTTCAAGTGTAGTATGTGTTTCTTACAGATGCTCATAAGCTGTTTTCTTATTGCAGAGTGAATGACGGGAGTGCGGATTGGTATGACTTCACCCCTTCTCCTGCAAACGGAACGATTGGCAAGTACCAGTTCACACCCAACCAGACCAACGCCCTCTATCCTCAGGTGAACATGGCAACCCCTCGAGCTCACCTTTGGCGACTAATAGCAGAAGCTTTTGTAGCTTTCTTGATTAACCGCTCTCTCAAAAGCTGCAACTTTCGAAAGCCCGCTGTCTGCTTATCCCGATAATGCATTTCACAACTGTGAGTTTGCGAAGAAGAGAAATTGCTGCAAAGCGTGTTTCGCGATCATCATACCGAGCCTGCTTCATCACCCACAGTTGCAAAACACGCGACCGTTCTTGGTCGACCCTTCCCGCTTCAACACCACGAACGGCGGCCCGCTCACGGTTCCATCAGACACCTACAACACCCAGCTCGCAGAGGTGAGTTCTCCGAATGAACGGCCAGCTCGTTGCACTGCCACACAGGTCAGGATGTAATAAAATTATTGCGGGCTTCTGACCGGCTCGCGCCTTGGATCTGAGCAGCCGTTCAAGGGAAGCCCTCAGATTTGTTGTCGGCCGAGTAGTGTGAAAGATTCGGGTCTTCGTTCTCTGTGTACGGGAGCGACTGGCTCTTCAGAGCGAGGGAATTTCAAATTAGGGTGCAACAAATAGGTCGGCCAAAAACTCTCTGAAAGTTAGGTCCTCTTCACCGGTTGAATCAGCCTGAACTCCTTTTCCAGCTTGATTACTGAGGCTCTTATCTGCTCGATTGCGATTGTATCTAAGAAGATCGTCCTTAAAGTTACTCTAAACGCGCCTCTTCCCGGGGTCAACCTGCATTTTCATCTCTTTGCGGTTCGAAGGGCCCTCCTGACACTCCGTCGCAGCTTCATCAAAGTCCAAATTCACCACCAAACGGTCAGACTCTGCTGCAAGGCAAAACGGACCGTTAAATGTGTAGCGTCAATAGCTTGGCAGCTTAGACCCAAGTTTACCACTACTAACATGCCTGACGCAACTTCAATAATGTCCCTCCATAGGTGCGCACACTGGGTTCCAGCACGAGCTCCAACCGGAGCGCCACTCAAACAGAAACCGCCTACTTCTGGGCCGACCTCGCGGGTAAGTACCCCGGGGGAGGGTACTGGAAAACCTCGTAAGAATCCGAGTTTGATTTGCGCTAGTTTTGTAGTCTGCAAGCCCGCAGACTAATCACAGTGGTCGTAAAGTCGTGATCGATGTTTCTTTATCCGGAAGGGTAGGAGTCCAGAAGTGTAGATCTGAGACTTTGATTATCCAATAGATTTTGGTTTTTCCGTTACTGGTATCAGCTTGACCGTTACTGGTATTAGCTTGACCTCTCGACGTCCTTTTGAGAACGGAAGTACGAACTGCTTCTCTCTCATAATATGAGCAGAAGTTCAAGAGACGCATCTTTCCCAGATCCTTGCGGCCCCTGGCATTCTAGGCGACGGGCACTCAGGCCTTCGGTCGCCTGTTCTGGACATTTCCGGCAACGCCCATCTCCAGCCTTCCAATAAGTTCGCCAGCGCCCTGAGCTCGGTCCCCGTTGTCGGTCAGCTTCCGTGCGTTCCTCTAGTAGCTTCACAGCCCTCCATAAGAGCCCCCACACCGCTGACGTCATGCTGACGCTTCCTCCTGCAGGCACGGGCGCGATCACCAGCCACTGGTACAACATCACGGCGGCGGTGCTGCCCAACTCGACGGACGTGCTGACGACAGCCAAAGTGTACGCGGCGATTGGAGTTGCTATCTATGACGCCAGCATTGCGGGGTGGAAGCAGAAGTACGGCGTCCTCTTCTGGCGGCCCATCACAGCCATCAGGTGAGTCTACTCAGATCGACGTTTTGCACTGCTTCTTACAGTACTGATTCTTCTTCACGAAAGGTTTCCAGTGCTTTTCGGTGAGAAGGGGAAACGTTTAGCATATCGCCGTTGTTCGAGGAACTATGCCCAGGAACCTGCTTCTTTTGAATGTGTAAATCAAAGTATGGTTCTCAGAAGCTCGGCATGTAGAAACCGTTTTGGGAGCGTTCTGAGATCTGTCCAAGGCCCCCATTCTGTCGAGGACGAATCGCCGTTCACTGTACGGCATGTTTTCCAGCGGATTCGCGTTTGCTTTCTGGAAAGGGAAGTGTGCGATAGATCACCGCACCCTCGATTCGGTAGGCTTCTCCACTAGCGAAGACGTTGTTCCAAATCTACCGCTTCTAACCTTGATCAGATTTGGCGTTGATTTTGTGTTTTTCAGACTATCTTAATCTCAAGTTGGGACATCAAACCTCGATGTCATCCTTATCCCCAGGCAAGGCGACGGTGTGAATACCCCGGACGCAACCTGGTCGCCCCTGCTAAGCACGCCAAACCACCCCGAGTACCCGAGCGGCCATTCTGTCACGAGCGGCGCCGCAGCGGTACGTACCGCGCCCACCCTCTTTCCAGTGCACAATCTTCGTCGGTAGCGCCTGATTCGGGTCGAGCTCACGGCTCCTTTGTTTCACTAACGACACTGGTTAGTGGCAAGGATTTCTGGCTGAGACCTCAGTCACAGGATGGTATGGCTGCTAACCAGGTTTGATAACCAGACTTTAGTGTGGTACTTTGACCAATAACCGCACGTAATCATGCCATGCTAATAACGTGGTTACTGCTCGAGTCTGGTTGTTGGACCTTCAACCAGCTTCAAACCAGCCCGTAACCGACTATGTTTTACCGTCAAAAAATCCTTGTAAGCGCTGAGCAGGCGCTGAGCGACGGATCGACTGGCAGCAGGAGGCGAGCGTCTAGAAATGAAACTGACAGTGAATGTCAAAAACTGCAGGGTATCCTTATCAACCACTTCGGGAGCGACAATACGACTTTCACCATCGGGTCGGAATACACGTCAGCAAACGTCACATCCCTTTCTCCGAGAAGCTACACCAAGTTTACGGACACAGCGACGGAGATCGGTCTGAGCAGGTACGCAAGGACGAAACGGCTTGCCAAGAGACAACTCATCCTGATTCCCAAATGCTTCTCTACTTGTGGATGCTGCGTTTGATACCCGGGAACGGGCAGAGACGACATCGAGCGAGCGAATGTGGTTTAACCCCCTTCGGATCGATTCATTTTGGCCTCTATCGCCCTTCGCTGGAGAAAAACGTTTTCCCAAACGAATTAGTTGACGCCTTCTAAAGCCCTTATAACAACGCTCGCGCTCCGATACACAGGATCTACGGCGGACTTCACTTCCGGAAGGCCATTGAGGACGGGCAAGCTCTCGGACTGGCGGTGAGTTGCTTTTGTCCTGCTTCCGACAATTGCTCGTCTGGAATCCAGGTTCTCGTTGTCAAAGTATGTCGGCCGCATGTTTTGCCCGCACTGTGTGCGCACCGGTCAGCACAATCTTCGATTCCATTGGAGACAAAGCTACCCGCGTCGATCCGTTCCCGTTACCTAGGCAAAATACAGGGGGGAAATCCGGAGGAAATCTGGGCTCGGAGCTTGGATTTGAATCCACTTCAAACATTAGTTTTGAAAAAACCCGTCGCTTTCACCTGTGAAGCTCTATTTGTTTTGCGATGCCTCTGGCGTTGCGCAGCCTACGAGGATATTTCCTAACTCTGTCCCAATGAAATGGTTCTCCGTCCTGTTCCCGGAACCTGCTTCACGACCCGACATGAAGCTGCTAACGCGCTCCCTATGCTTGCAGGTTGCGAGCGCGGTTTGGGCATCCTTCCCGTCCTCCTACTCTGTGGACGGGGTCAGCATCGTGACGGGAGTGCCTTTGAAGAATTGATGACGTATTGGCAGGCAAACCCGAAATGTAATTAGCGCCACTCTCATCCAGGGGCTTTCGACATGCGATTTCTCGGGTTGATTTTTGACGTAACTCTTAGGGGTTCGGCGATTCAGACTTTTTTGATAATACGGAATTGAAGGTGGATCGTGAGCGCGTCCTGTAAGGAACACCGCATCCGAAGGACTAAGTTGGTCGATTTGTGAGCCGGAATGGAATCTCTAGCCTCAATTTGAGGGCTTAAGTCCGCGCAATATTACAGGCTTAAGACACTCGGTCCGAGCACTCTGGCTAACGGGAAGAGAGCCTAGATTATTGAGCAACGACTCCAGGACTACTCTTGGGATTGGGATTTTGGAGACATTATGCTCTGGCAGTTGCTTTATGCCATGCAAGGTTAATCCACCTCGTCCTTGGAAATGATCGTTAATACTTCCAACAAGATCCCTGATCGCTGTGATAGCTAGTACTTAATAGTGTCTCGTACATGGGTAAAGTCTGCCCTATTTGTAAGCACTCTATGTAATGTCCCTACCCTTGAAGAATCGTCGATGCGTCAATGCGTGCACTTTTGCAAAACTACTACGTTCACACCACCGTAGGACTGAACGACGAATCAGGATAAGGGAGTCAACTATGTTCTTGTTACTTGGCCTCATCTGCGGGATGTGCAAGGCATTGAAGGCCGGTATTCATAGAAACAGTACGGTACCAGACGTCCATCAAAATGGTCACTTTTTTTTGTACACGCTTACGCACCTTAGCCCATGCGGCAGAAACGATATTAAACAACATCGGACTTCGGCTTCCTAAGAAACTTTTACTACTCTAGTTACCGAGAGATTGCTAACAATGAAGCAACATGACTAATGGACAGAATGCAAGGCTTACTTCGTGATCAAGTGGGACGATTTGTTCTCTGTGCTCCGGCCCTACGTCTTGCTTTTTTGAGCGAGCTTTTTTCGCCATGGGCCAGGCTAATGGATGTCCGAATGGTACTGCAGCTCTATCAGAATCTACCTGCCGAACCCTTTGGTTGCTACTTTTCTAAGACTTAGGCCTGGGCACCGCACCCTTCCTATTTTATCAACGTACCATTGTAAGTTTGTCCAATCACGCGTGCACTCTATGATCAGGGTCCTGCTTGTGTAAAAGGCAAGGAATCAGCCCAGATGTCGCCCCGTGCAAGCAGCGCTGTATGATCCGATCTGCCCGGCCCGGCTCGCGATTGGAGGCGTCTGTGTCGCTTGGACATCCTCAGAAGCTGCCTCTCCGTCGACCGGAAACGGAAGTGCCGGCCTCGTCTGCACCAGGTGTTAGCGTCGCTCAAGCAGTTGACTACGGACTGTCAAAATGGGTGCAGATTGCAGAGGGGCGCACCGAAAGCACTTCTCAGGGAGAACCGCAAAAATGTAAGGAAAGGTTCGAGGCTCCTGATCCGCCAGCTTCCGGTCGATACCAGCGGCCCACGTGGGAGCAACACTGGCAAGAAGCGCGCTTGGACGGCAGGACGGGGCAGGGGGACCAAACATCACTGAAACGCAGCGGACCATGATCCGCACCGTCAGATGAGAATTCTCTCAATCTGGACGGTCAGGATTGCTTATTTCGGATGTCCCGTGCCCGAAGCGGTCCTCGGTTGGTCTGAATGGAGGGTTTAGAAGAGTGTTAAAAGAAAATCTACGGTTTTTTGGCTGTTATACCCACCTAAACCTGCCCCCAATTCCTCCTACACGGCGCTTTGCCCGGACCCAAACCTTTGGGTTTCAAAGGTGACCCTGTGGAGGTTCAATCCCACCAATTGTCAGTTCCGGGAAATTAGCCGTTTGGCTGCTGGCACATGATTCCTGTTGCTGAATTTCTTACCTGGGGTGTTTGGTCCCCCTGGGACGGGGCTTCGGCGCCGGCTGACGTAGGATAGCCGGTGCGCTATGAAACGGTTTTGAAAGCTGAAACTTCGCTTAAACGTCTCTCAAAGTCTCTCCAAGTGCTGATTAACCGCGCCAGCCCAATTAGCAGTGCGGAGTCCAACTCACTACTAGGAGACCACCAGAGTCAAATGACGGTACTGTCATGCGGCGCGATCGATTGGCGCACTGGAAGTCTGAAAATTAACATCCTGACCAGTAAAGTCATTAGCTCTCGAAGGCCTCATTGCTTATGGATAGCGCTCCGAAAGAAGAAGGGGAAGAGAGCATGTGAGTCATGCCTGCTTTGGCCCGGCTAGTATGACTGTATTCGGTTTGGCCAGCTGCAGTCGGTTGGCATCACAATGCACATATCTACAATACATGACGTGCTAACGGTGCATAAATCTCATGAGATCATGGGCCCTGAAGGGGCCAACAATCTCTAAAGAAGCTTTACTGCAGCCCAATATTGGCTCCTAGCCATGCAATCTTGTGCAGCTCATCGAGAGATTTCAAGACCACTGGTCAGAGCATGCAGTCTGCAGCAGGAAACTCGGTAGAGCCGACGTCAAAGTTGAGAAGTCGATGGGCTTATAGTCTTCATGGGCAACTAGCATCCCCTATGTTTAGCTGTATTCCTAAGCTTTCTGTTCTGGTTGGCAACCTGTGATACGACAAGCTCTATAAGGTCTTTCCAAAATTGCCAAAACGTAAACGTCTCATTACAAACTCTTCGCTTAGGATACTCCAAGGCAAACGTTCTGGCGTTTGCTTGTATGTGCCCTTGGGGCTCAGAGTATTTTGTATGGCTTAAACGCGCAGTAACTTCCCTATAGACAGAATTTCTGATCTGGTCTACGGGTTGACGATAGTGCCCGCGGGGAGGAGCGCTGCCAGGTTGGCGATGGCATCGAGCAGCTTCGTAAGGGGACCCCCCAGGATTTGGCCCACCTGCGCGCGCGCGCACAAGCATCAGAATGGTTGCCACGTGTGCAACGGCTTTAAGAACGCCGGAAGAGTCGACCTCAGTCACAGAGGTATACGCAAGCATGGTATCACGCAGTCAGCCGTCTCCGAACTTGACCACTTTCAGCTTGCCTGTTTGCTGGACGTTTACAACCAGTCGGCACGTCTACACGTTTGATCTTCTGCAAGACGGAGAGATCTAAACGATCTGACGTCATAGCAAAAGTGCAGACCAATGTCGTTAGAAGTTCCCTTCAAACCCTGCACAACGTTGTTCCCATAACCCTGACTTTCGTGAAAAGAAAGCTACCAGCGCGCTCACCGCAATGGACGTCTGCGATGCCTGCCCGGCGGTGTTGAGCAGCGTGGTCACCAAACCCAGCTGGTTAGTGAGCTGGGTTATTGCAAACAGCAGGGTTTGCGCCAGGAGAACCACGGGGTCAAGCGCGCCACCTCCGCTGAAGAGACCGCCCAGATTGCCCGGGAGCTGCTTCAGCGAACGGGCGGCGCCGCTGACGTCATTCTCCTCGAGCTTGGGAAGCTCGCGGCCCTGGAAACAAAATGACCTAGTGATTACGTCAGCACTACGTTGTGCTGATAGAAGATCGATCCAAAACCTACTGCTATTACAGAAGTGTAGTAGATGTCTAGCAGAAGATTCAGATTTGACCGTAGAAATCAGGAGGTGGAGGTGCGCGCCTTGCAGAAAGGCTCTCAAACATAGGACCGAACTTCGTTTGCTAGCCCCTTTCTTGAAAGCCCCTCATTTCACCTTAGAGCACTTGTTTTGCAACTAGCGCAGTGTCTGACTGTAGTGTTGGCTGAGAACACATTCGTTTGCTTGCAAGCAAAACAGCGCGCGGTGACTGCAACAACAAGCAAAACCTTGAATGAGTCATCGATTCCAACAACATAGGCCGCTATTGGGCCACAGGGATCAGAGGGGCGAATGGGCAAATGGGTCCTTCCCGCTTCTAGAAAAGAGGGAAAGAGTAACATAATAATAAAAGGCCAAATGGGTCACGCGGAGAACCAAGGCAGTGATGTCCAGCTCACCTGCGCAGCAACTGCCGCAAAGACGGCCACGAGAACCGAAGCCATGATCACGTACTTGAAGGCAGCCATCACTTTTGGAAAGCAGGGAAGTAGATGCGGGGCGAGCTGCGAATGGGTAAAGAAACTTTGCAAGGAGGGTAGAATCTGAGCAGTACTTGGGGCGACTGAGGTTTTGGCTGCGAGCTGTAGATTGCAGTGGCACTTTGAGCAGTGAAGCTGATGTATCTCCACTTTTGACTGAGGCAAAACCGAGGCTCGGGCAGACGGCTCTGTTTAGATAGTAACCGCTGAGCAGTGACACTATCTAGCTGGTAAGCATCCGGCGCAAGGCGGAGAGCTCCTCATCCATGCTGACGTCATCTGCTGAAGATGCTGATGTGACGTCTCAGGTGGGCGCAGCCCGCGAGCTCTCGACCACACGTAGGATTCATGCACCTTCTGTTTCGGGGCAGGTACCGGGCTGCAGATTGAGTCCTAGTACTTTCAGTACTTTGCTCTCGGTACGTAGTCATGATGTTGATGAACTCGTTTTGATTTCTTGGTCTTTGTTGTATCAGCCCAATTGCACCGGCCAGCCTCGCTGTATATCTAGGTACCTATGTACCTAATTCTCTTTGTAGCCTGGCATCCGATCTAGTCAAAAAGGTAAGTATGGGATAGGTGTGTAGGCCTATCCATCTATACATAGATCACAGCAGGCCATTTCAGCAGAGAGGACTGGCATCCAGTATGAACCCGCCGTGCCTATCAGCGAATGTGCAGGCGATTCTTGCGTAAGTTTGCAGTCTGCAGTACCCAGGTATATTACACTCAAAAGCCCCGCACCAGTGTTAAGGCTTTGTTACGGGAAGTACAGCTGTGCGTACTGCTGTGGATTTGAGTCCAGTGTACCTACGTAGCCGGCTTGGTACCTTCCTTGTACCGACGCTTGTGAAGTCGGATATCGGTCCTGCCCAGAGTTGCCTGACCGGCTGCTGGCTCTGCCCGGTAGTTCCTGCTGACGGCTGCTCAGACTGACGAGCTAAACCTGTAACATCCCCGGCTGTTAGGCTACGTAATCCCCGGGCCTTTGAACACCTATTGCAGCATTGGGTGCACCGAACCTGTACGCGACGGTCCGCTCGTACCAGTACGAAGCAAAGTCGGCGCCACGCCGGAGAATTCCGAGCAGTAAATGCATAGTGCTTCGAGTAACCCGGTGAATCCGTGATTCGCGCATATTCTTGGCCGGGCGGCTACTGCAGTGATGATGTGGCAGGTAGCCTGAACCTGGTCTGCTTTGCGGAACCGCTCAACCCCAGACCAGGTTTCCTCCAAGTCTTAACGTTTAACACCATCTACTACACCGCTCAATTTATCAAGTATTGAATGTGCTGATTAGTGTCAAAGTTTTGTCAGCCGGCGACAACTTTCCGATCCGCTGCGGCGTTTGGTTCATGATGCACTGAACTTGGGGCCGGGGCATCATATACCGTAGGCTCTCAGTGCAGGAATATTACCTTCGTCGGTACTATGGTACTAGGACTCGCTACCTACTTATTTTCTAGGTTGTGCTCTGAGCAAATCTCTAGGCTAAATCTATGCTTCATTTCAGCTAGCTTTCTGGCGCAGCCACCTATCTTTGCCAGGTGTCCAAATCACCAGGTAGATTCTTTGCGTCGCAGCTTCCTAGACCACCACGTGGCTTGCCAAGACGATCTGAAGCACGGACTGGTCCGATTGCATCCTCGCCGCGGATTGTGACCCGTCGTGAGCTACCGGTGCATGAATCATAAGCTGCGCACACCTAGCTAGGTACCTCGTGAGAGTCGACTCGTTTCTTCCAATCATGGATCCTCGGCTCATGCCGACAGGGTGTCATAATTGATGTGCGCTCCGAGATCGCTCTCCGCCTCGCAAAACGGATCGCGTGATTGGGTGTGACGTCACCGTGCCGCAACAAGAGCCGCGGCTTGACGTCAGCCCGTGCTGAGTTCACTTGACGTCGCCAGGGGGCTGCGCCGAGTTCGTGCACCTGTTGACGAGGCCGCAGCCAGGTTTCAACCCGCAATCAGAACGACAGACACGTCAGCATTCACCAGGTTCAGGATTAGTTGCACGTCGCCAAGTACACTATAAGTACGTCAGGTATGTACGTTCTGCACGAAACATGACGGCCCGATGAGCTCTGGGTAGTCAGTTCGACAAGTATTAAAGGCCGGAAGAAAAGCAGCCCGCAGAGTGCCTACAAAGCGTGACAGTCAGCCCTGGTGACTACGGTAGTGTAAAATTGCCAAGGATCAAAATCGCGTAATCACTGGTGTACCCGAGTACTACCATCGTTTCTGGTCGAATCAGTACGACTCCGTTCAGCTGACTAGCAGGCTAAGTTAAAATTCTTGCCCCGAACGTCTACACCAGCTTTTCCTGGTTGAATCCAGATTGAATCCTCGCAGGCTGCTTGCAGCCAGCATTGCCCTCTTCATCCTCTCCGCCCATAAAGCCCCTCAAAAGTCGGCTCTTTCCAGAATTCTCCCTCCCTATCCTTTCCAGATTCCGACACTGACAGTCAAGCATGGCTCCGTCAGCGTCCCGCCTCCTTTCCGCTCTGCTCCTTCTTGCGGCGCTTGCTGACGTGGCGTCCGCTGCGGAAGATTTGCTGTACGTTTGGACGGGCGACGATGACCACCAGCAGCCAGACTTCCTGGCGGTCTTGGAGTTCAATCCGACGTCGCCCAACTACGGAAAGGTGGTCGCCAAGGTGGACCTTACAGGGCCCAGTGCGTTCGGGAATGAGGTGAGAGATCCCAAACCTGCCCCTTCCTTTGTTCTGGTGCGTTTCTTTTCCTTGCTCCCCTTATTTGCGTGCTTGAAGCGATAAGCAAGGGGCGAGTTGGTAGCAAAGGGGCTGGCCAACGAGCATTCATTCCCACCTTCCTCCGGCTTAACATGGGCGGTCTTTCTAGGTTGACGTATTAAGTCCTACATACTTTGATGCTTAAGGTTGATGCTTTAAAACATTGGACAACCAGCGCATGGAAAGAAGGTCGCACTTGCACACATCCTTATAGATTTGGTTCCAAATCTGGGTGCATCAGAAGCTTTCCCTTGAAGAAATGGTCTTTGTTTGGACTTAAGGGAGGTGGCTCAAGGTACCTGCAAGGGAGTTGAGAACCAGTACTCCGGAAATCTGCTGTCTTCAGACTTGACTGAAATGCTTATGGATGTCCTGGCTGTCTAAAACAGTCTACCTAGCTCAAGATATCTGTCAGGGTCAGTGAGCATTATTGGTTTAGAGGCTGCCTCCGATTGAAGCCAGGTTTCGAGGGGCTCGAGCTTCAGCGTTTCAGAGGGTGAACCTAATACATGCGGCCGGCAGTCCTTACGAGATCCAGATATTGAAAGACTTTCTGGTCTTGTATGTCAGTTGTATCTGGGTCCGCTTCGGAACGTTTGAAATCATCCTAGTCGTCAGTTGTTCAGAGCTTTCAATTGTGCAAGCTTTTCAATCATCAAAACCTCCTCTCTGCAGCCGCACCGCAGCACGTTTGGCAACGACAAGCAGACGCTCGCGGGCGCCAATATCTTAACCGAGTTGGTTAATCCGTCCACAAAACTATCCGACTCATTATTTTCTCCCTGCAGCCGCACCACATCACGTTCAGCTACGACAAGAAGACCCTCGCGGGCGCCGGGATCTTCTCCTTCCTCTTCCCCTTCTCCGCGCGCATCCCCGCGCAGGAGCAAGTCTTCTTCTACGACACGAGCAACCCGCGCGCGCCCACCTTCAACGGGGTTACCGCTAACCCGCTCAAGTCGGGCGCTGCGGACGAGTTGTACCCACTTTCGGACGGCACGTTTCTGCTGAGCTCACTGGGCACTCGGGCCGGAACCGCCGAGGGCGCGATTACGGTTTTGTCGGCGACCGGGACGATCCTCGGGGAGTATCCCCTGGTGCCGCCGCTCGAGTCGTTCGACCCGCACGGGATCACCGTGCGCGAGGACCTTGACCTGTTCATAACCACGGGTGAGTGACGGGTTAAGCCGTAACCAAGTTGATCTTGTGCGAAGTCTTTTCTATAGATTGCGTCTATTTGCGCGGTATGAAAACCTGCGTTATTTGGGATCACCGTGCGCGAGGACCTGGACCTGTTCATAACCACGGGTGAGTGACGGGTTAAGCGATTGACCCCTGGTTTTGAGCTAGCTTGATTGCATGTGGATTGCGCGACGGTAACAGTCCGTCTTATTTGGGCATCACGGGCGCGAGGACCTTGACCTGTTCATAACCACAAAGCGAGTGGCGGGTTAAGCCGTAACCTTGGTCTTGTGCTGAGTCTATGCCAAGAATTGCATTGAGTTTGCGCGACAGCAGAGCCTGTGTCATCAGCTGTCGTCAGCGAATCGAGACCGATTTGCGCTGAAGTCCTTCGATCGTAGGACGCAATAATCAAGGATCGCGCTTGCTGCAAATGCACTCAAAATTGGGAGTCTGTACGAAACCCGCGCTCTTTTGTCGGGTCGGTTCTGTCTTGGTTCTCTGACTTGTGATTTTCAATGTCCAATGTCAGTCCTCAGTCTGACTGCTCGCAGGTGGCTCGTTTTGTCACTTGGCGTCAGCCAACGGCTCTCTGTATCACATCGGTCTTCTGGTTTAATTTGAAAATATTCATGGAAAATAGCTTTGTCGAAGTCTACTTGCAAATTACAACGCTATGTGCCCAACAATTTCGTTCAATCCTGATAGACTGGCTTCAGGGCTTGTTCAACACATGGCAATCGGTGCCTCTGCGCAACTTCTTTTCTCCCTGATGAAGGGCTTTTTATGCTCTTGTGTCTTAGGCGCTCCTGTTCTTAAGGCTTTCTTCTCCTGCAGATTTCATCGAGCCTGCTTCGGCCCTTTCGCTTACCCAGCTGCTCTTCGGAGGCATCCGCTATCAGAAGAGTAAGTGCCGTATCTTTTGATTTCTTTTTTGCGGCTGCCGGATGTGATTTGCTGAACCGGAGATGAATACTCTGAGCCTTTCAGGCGCGGGGTTTACAAATGAAGACCCATGCGCTTTCTCCTTTGTCGACGTTTTCGTGCAAAGTATACGTTATCAAGTTTCCTCAAGGTTCAACAGCATAGGCTTGAATGGCCCGCACACTTCTCCAGGGAGCCTAACCCCCAGTTTTTTTAAGCGCTTCAGCCGCAGCATTGATTTACTCTTTCAAATAGCCGGTGCGTCCCTCAGTCCGCTTGATTGTCCCAACTGTTGACTTCGTGCCACGTGTCGCGCGCAGCGATCCGCAAGTGGCGCCTCTCCACCAAGGAGATCATCGGAACATGGACGGTCGACGATAAAGCGGGGCCGTTAACCAACTACTTCATCCCCAACGACCCCTACGGCCGCATCATCGCGTCCGCGGTTAACGCTAACAAGATCTACCTCCTTGACCCAAACCTCAACGGCACGTGAGTGGCGCCACGTCAGTTGGTCTTTCGTTTTCGCTGCTTGCTCAGAAAACAGGGAGCAAGCTGGAATACGTTGAAGGATCATGTGACGCTTGCACAAATATGAATGAGCAAGGTTTTGTCCTTCCCCGTCGGGATATGTAAGCCCTCCGCTTTCTCATAAGCGGACCGTCTTTCAAAGCCCTTCCTGGTTCTTGCCAAAGCGCCTGCTTTCCTCACGAAGTGTCAAGGAGACCTTTGTGGGGAAGCGTTATTTAGTACGTACACACGGGCTTCGCGCCTTCAAACTGTTGGCCGATATTTCCATTTTTTTCAAACGATGTGCTTTATCATTATTTTGCACTGATTATGCAGATTGGGCGGCCTTAAATACTACACCGCTCTCGATCTGACCGCCGCCGGTTACCCCAACTCCAACCCCCACTACGTCAGACTGACGCAAGACGGCAAGACTGCCGTGCTTACTTTGAATGCTGGGAACAAGGTAAGAATTCAGAAAGCCCTAGTCTAAAACTCAGCAAGCACCACTGGTGAGGTTCACGGATTTGAAATGTGCTAGTTTCGAAAGAAACGGAGTCTTGCAATCCTTGCAAGAAAGAGTCTCGCAGGAATAGGGCGTGCTCATTAGATTCTTTCCTGGACGTACCTGAGCAGATACAACTTAGGGTTGTCGAATTGCGTCAGTTTAGATCGCACGAAGTGTGAAAGCCCTCAAGCGTTTCCTGTCATATGGGTATTCTTCTGCGTTCATCGAGCTACTTCAGACCTGATGTCATGAAAGGCAGTAATCAGCAGGTACGAAGAATGCTCCCCCTCTCTCCCCTCAAGTGGTCGCGGTCTGATTGCGAAGCAAAGAGGACCCGTCCACTGCTTCATTTTTGAGAGAATCCTTGTCATCTTGCGCAGGTCTTGCTTCTCGACTTGACCAACCCGTACAACATCAAGATCAAGGACGTGCTGCCTCTGCCTAACGGTGAGGACAGCTGTCAAGCTCTGCCTTTGAAGCCCTACTCCAAGCTTCCATTGCTGGGTTTAACTTTTCGAGTTCGATGTTTGAAGTGATTCTGTTCCACTTTGATATGGGCGAATCCTTCCGTGCCTTATGTTCATCCTCGTGTTTTTCGTGAACGGTGACTTTTTGACAGAAGTTCGGTGCTTTTCTGAGACCTGGTGATCCAGGTAGAAGGCATTTCTGTCCGCGGGGGGTTTGAACTTGTGTCTCATTCACTCCACTCCCTCTCTCTGAATTTGGCTTCCTCTGTATACCGCAGGCGCGAATCCCCACTACGCCGACATTCACCCCGACCAGAAACGCGTCGTCGTCGTCGTGAGTCACATAGACCCTGGCCCAAAAACCCTAAAAAACCCTAACCCTAAAACCTGACCAGCTTCCAGCGCTGCTCGGATCTCATCCTCGTAGCATCCGGAGGCTTTCGTCGAGCACTCGTTATAAAATGAAAGAGTTCCTGCCTTTCCACAACTGATCTCCGTTGCATCAGTCGGCGATGAGAGGTGCTTGGAAGAATATAAGCTCAGTGGAGAAGCGGACTTCGGAAGAGCTGCATTTGAACCTGATAGATGTGTTACTCAAGAGACAGGTCGTCCTCTCAGCGCTTAGGTGCATCCCGCATTCCTTAGTGCTCGTTTACCTAGCTGCTCCATCCACGTATGCACAGCCCACACAGACATAAAAGAGAGAACTTCAACAGGAAAGATTGCCCCAACGTTCCCGCTAATCATTTTCCATCTCTTTTCAAACAGGACTACTTCCTGGATTTCAAGACCTATGGGATCATTCACCGCCCCGGTGACAAGATTGTAAGCTTCCCTTCTCCAATCCATTGTTCAATCAAGGTAGTCGGATTTTACGTTTTTGGCAAATCGTTTCCCTGCGCGCTCCGCCAAACTGGGCGCTTCTTCAATTTTGCTCAAACTGGGAACGTGCTTTGACCCTGCCTTGACGACTCTTGTCGGCCTCGATCGTCTTGCTTAACCCGTTTCTCAATGCGCCCTTGGCAAGCTCATCTTCAAACGTCCGCTGAATTCTAGATATCAACACCCTGGTAAAATCAGGATAACGTCGCTGATCTAACTCGATAGAAAATATGTAACTCAATTCAGCAATTCATGATCCTAACCGTCTTCCTAAACCCGTTTGCAGATCCACGTGTACACGTTCGACACCGGCAAGCTCATTCCTGACCCCAACTGGCCTAATCCGGATTTCAAGAACCTGTTCCCCGCTCAAGGCGTCACCAACCCGCACGGAACCGCCTTCTATGCGTCAGGCTACTAGACCGTTGGGGGTCCCAGCTTTTGCATTTTGAGGCAGGTTTTGATCGGATTCAGGCCGTTTCTCAAGCCGTTGTCTGGTTGAAGGAGCTTTTGGAAACCCACGTAAGAGAGGTGTACGAAGCTGCTGAAGTAGAGGGCAAAAACAATCATGGGAAGGAGCTAAACAGATATGATAGATAGTCGCGCAATGCTGGCGCAATTTTGAACATATTCAGTTCGAGATTTCTTACTTCATAAGCGAGTTGGCAAGGACCTTACAGGAAAGGGCGGTGCTGAAAAAGCCCTTTGACAAAGAGCAGATTACTAGCTTAAATTTCACGGCTTGATTTTCGCAGACTGTGCCACTCGGATCCGCCGAATATCGCGTTAGCCTCAAAAAACGCGTGATCTGAATTATCATCGCTGGATCTGTGAGTCGCTAGTGGCCCCGGGCAGCAACCTCACGCATTACTGAAATGTTTGTGCTTTTACCCTTCTTTGAAACGATGTTGACTGCCACTGATGCCAAGTCGGAGCGTATGCCCACAATGCTGAATTGCCTACATGCTTCTTCCAATATAAGAAAGATTTGAGCAACTCAGCAAAATTTCGATTCGTAGGCATGTGAAGAGCAGATCGTGGTATATAAGATTGTGGGCCATGTTTTACATATCACGCCGGTCAGACCGATAAAAGTAGGGACTGAAATTCATGCCGTAAGCAAAGATGCAGTGTGTTCAGATCGGCTGACCTTTCGCAATACTAAAACCGTCGATGAAATTATGAAGTTCCCGTTGAAAAGACGTGGTAACCCAGAAACTAGCAGTATGCGGAGACATTCGCTCCTGGTATTTGCACGATAAGAGAGCAGAAAGTTGTGCGATTAACCTTGTAAACGGATATCTTGTCGTCTTGAGATTGACTGATAGATTGAGGACGTCAGCTGACACGGCGCATGCTTGTCATCCTCCATTAGCGGCTTCTCTAACTTGCATCATCGCTGCGCTGCGGTCGCATACGAATAAGGTCTGCAAGCTGTAAGACCGCGCCACGGTGCTTTACCAAATGTTCGTAATGTTCCAAACGTGGCATCCAACAGGCCAAATAACCGGAAAGCTAGCTGGCTTATACGTCTAAGTGACTCCTCGCTCGCAGGCCGCGAACCAGAAAGTCCGCGAGCGCCTTGCTGACGTCACAGAAACCCCGCCGGAAGTCCAGGAATCTGTCGATGGCCGCCGCCAATGTCAGGTCGTCCACCTCTTTACTTCCGTTTCCAATTTCCCCCACGGAATTTGCGCTGACTTCCACCCCCCAAACCGTTCTGCAAAAGCTCCGGAACAGTTTAGCTGCGTCCTTGGGGTCCGTTTCGGGGGGACTGGAGCGAGCCCCAATAAGATCCCCCCCCTTCGCAACCATCTGCTTGACCTCAAACCGCAGCGCTGAAAGGTAGTCAAGATTCTCAACTGCAGATATGCCGATGACGGTCGCGCCTCCGTCAGAAGGCACTACAAGGTAGACCACGGAAAGCGAGTCCTCCGAACCGGGCCCTGTTTTCGTACTACCCGCACCGTCTGCCTGCTTATTCTCCCTGAGACCCTGCACCCAGGCGCACGCAACAAGGCCCGGAGTCACTTGCGCCGCTGCGTCGAAATCGGGCACCGTTTTGAAGCAGCACTTTTCCGCGTATTGCACGCAGCTCGCGAGCAGGAAACGGTGGAGCTCGCGCGCGCGGGCGCCCGTCTCGCGCGCCATTCGGACGTCCACGTGGAGCCGCTGCTGCTCGCGGACGAGCGCCCGGTAGTGCGCGAGCAGCAGCGGGCCGAGGTCGCGCGATTCGACGCCGCTGACGTCGCTCTGACGTCGTCCCAGTGGGCTCGCGGCCGGGGGCGAAGCCTGGCCCGTTTCTTTTCCCCCAGTCCCTGGACTTGCTTCGCTTTCTAAAACGTTCCGAGTGGTGATCCGGTATTCTTCGCCGGCGCGAACGATCTCGAGCGCGTGCGCCGGGACCGCGTCAGGGTTTGGGAGGTTTAAGCAGAGCTCCGACTCCAAGAACGTCGCCATATCGGCCACTGCTCGGGCGTTTTGAAGCGCGGCCGCGATCGCGCCGTCTGGAGAATCCAAACCCGCCGCCGCGGCCGCGAGCAGCTGGAAGGCCTCTTGGAGAAGCGCGCGATCGTGCGCCCCGGTTTGGACGATCGTCCGGATCGCGGTCCGAAGTTTGTCCGTTGCTTTCTTGGTTTCGTTGCTTCTTATGAAAGCACGCGCGAGCGCAATATGTGCGCGCGAGACGAGAGCCGCAGGGGGGTTGGCGACGACGTGCGAGAGGAGGCGCTCGCATTTCACGAGGGAGGCAAGTGCGGCGGAGACCTGAGAAAAGCAGGAGTTTTACCTCTGGAGTCCGGCCAGTCACAGTCGACAAAATGGATCGACCGCACGGTTTTTCACGATTATCGCCGCAAACAAAGCGGAATTGGAAGGCACTTGAGTAGATGAGAACGATAACCGAGCGGGGAGATGGAGAAATCATGAGAGATGCTCCGGTGAATAATGTGCAAACAGCCTGGGGTCGATAGCAGCGGAAAGTAAAATATGTGATACCGAGATACAATAAGTGTGGGTAGAGCTTCAGCAGGCAAAAGATGTGTTGACATCCTGAATCGCAACAACGTAACGCTTGTCAGAGAAAGGAGCGATACGCCCCAATGTCAGGTTGCGATTGTATGCTCAAGGCGCGTGGTTTGTCGCAAAATGCACCTATCAAAGCCGGGGAAAGCCGGCGAGCTCCACAACATAAAACACGCGCCTGCCGCAATTGTGCGCTGGGCAATCATTTGGCACCGCCCATACGCTTCGCTTTATTGACTCAAACTCAAACCCGGCCCTTTTCCGGCGACATTTTCAGATATAAGTCCGCAGCCCTCACCTGCGACTGGTCGCCCAGAAGCGCCGTCCCTCGCAACAGCAGTCCCACCGCGAGCGTTTCCGTCGTGGGAAGGTAAACGCTCCTGAGCGCTTCCTTCTTCTGCACGTCGTTCGCCCCAAGCTCCACCTCTTGACACTCCAGAAGCGCGCAAGCCTCGGCGCAGAGCACCAAGCCGTTTCTGGTGTCAAGCTTCTCCGCCCTAGCCAGCTCGGCGAGTCTCAGCAGCTGCGTCGGTAAGAAGAGCCCGTCGCTGTAGTGATGCTCGCGGCACTGCGCGGCGACCGCGCTTAAACCCTCAAACCCTTTCCTGACCGCGCCGGCCAATACGTCCAACTCAGCCAATAAGCTCTGCGCCCGCAGAGTGTAATTTACACTCCCCGCCGACCCCGCCTGCGACTCCAGCTGCTCTGACGCGGCGCGCGCTAGTGTGAAATGGCCCAGATCGAGCAGGATTTCCGCCAGTCTCAACTGACACTCCAGCCAGCACTTTTGCAGAACCGCGTGCCGCAGGGGGACATTCACACCGCCGTGTCCGTCGCCCATCGGCTGTGGTGGGAACGCTTTCGAGATGCGGTTCAGGGCCGTTTCGAGAGCGTTCAACGCGGCCTTCGGACGGTGCTGCGCGCGCAGGACGTCCGAAAGCACGAGGCCGCCCCGGGCCAAAACCTCCAAACCATCCAAACCCTGCCCGGCCGCGGCACCGTCCACCCCCCCATTTCCGCCCTCGGGTTCCACCCCCCATCTCTGTGCCGCGGCATCCAAAGCCTTTCTGAGCAAAGCCTCCGCCTGCGCTAAGCACGCGCTGCCACTTGTGACTTCCTGGTTGGCCGCGACCGTTACGCTCGCGCGCGATGTCTTTCCAGACTCTGCCGTCTTCTTCGTGTTGTTTCCGGATTTGGGTCTCGGAACATTTAGAGACGCCTCGGTAGAGAGCCCCGGGCCGTCGGTCATGCCAGTGGCCCACAGGGACCCCACCCGGCAAAGGAACCGGGCACGTGCCAGCTCAAGCTCCGTGCTGACGTTTCCTGCCACGTCAGCATTCGCAAGAAAGGCTATCGCGGCCTGGTTGCTGGGGTGGCTCGGTGGAAGGTTGTTCGCGTACAACAGTTCCTGTTTTGGCGCAGGAACGGCTTCCGGTGCGACCGGTTTGCTCTTTCCGTCCTTTCCGGTTCCGTTGGCTTTCCCTGCGTCCGCAGGGTCCCCGTTTGCCGGCGCACCGACAGGTGTGAACAGGCGCTGAAGCTCCGCAAAAGCTTCCGAGAGGCGCCCCACGGCGAGCAGCGCTTCTACGTGCAGCAAAGTAGCCGCGTTTCGTGCCAGGGGGTTCGGTTTGGCAGCGCCGAGTGCCCCCCGAAGTAGCGCCAGAACCGGCAACGCCCTCAGGGGCTCTTCTTCGACGGCCACCAAATGCGTCGCGAGTGTAAACAGGGCCCTTTGGAGCCGGTTGACACTGCCAACGTGGCCGACCGCGAATGGCGCCACGTGGCCCCAGCTGAGTGGCTCCGGGGTGTAGGTCGCCAAAGCGAGCGGCGCTTGCGGGTGCGCCATACTAGTTGCAAAGACCGCTGACGTCATCTCGGCGGCCATCAGCGCCGCCTCGCGTTGCGCGTGTGCGTCCGACGTCAGAGCTGACGTCAGCAGCTTCGAAATGACGTCAGCGCCGAGGAGACAGCGCTGTGCGCCCCCGCCCTCGGACAGGACGTGCATCCAGTGCTCGTTTATGCCCGCCGTTTTGTCGCCGCCCCTGGTTCTCCTCTGATCACCCTCTTTTCTGGCCACCGTTCCGTAAGGCGAACGGACGTTTCCGATCGGGTTTCCGAGCGGCTCTGCGTTCAGAGCTCCTTTCGAGGTCTCAGTCGCGATTCCGGTCAACACAGTTCCGCTGAGTAGATCAGAGCGGAAAAGCTGGCGCCACTTGTCAAGCGACTTGTAGGCGCCCGTCACGGCGTCGAGGGCGTCCTTCCAGCACTGCCCCGCGGCTGTCATGTCGCCAAAATGCGCGTGAATGTCGCCGAGCTCGCTGTGGGCCTGGGCCAGCAAAAAGGCATCGGGGCCTGCCTGGAGCTGCAGGAAGGATTACAAAGACACGGCAGCTTTACTGTCTTCCATGAATGTCGCTGACGAAAGGTGACCGTTGTCAGCCTGTGTGACTTCCTGCCTTCTCTCCCAGATCTGGGGGACTTCATCTTATTGCTCAAGGAAACAAGCCACGAAGCGGGTTTTACATCCACCGATATGAAGGCGCGGAAAAATGATGGGTTCCTATAAAATAAAAAGATTGGCAGAGAAGGGGTTGTATTAGGGCACGATGGAAGCTTGTTGTAACTTGCCGTGCCTCTTACGGACGAGCTGTCAGATTTACTCTCTGGAACACTGACCTTATATAATAGCGGGGCTGGTTTGTCTCTGAAAGACTGGATAGAAACACCTGAGACTCCGACACCCATATTTGTGATCACGAGAACGTATCAGGGACAGACTTCTGACTGACAGTTCCGACTTTGCGTCAGAGGGTTGATAAGGTCAGAAAGCAAATTGAGATTGAAATGTTCAACAAACAGCTTTGCAGTTGTTCAAGATTCAGCTGTGCCTCTGCAAGCTCTTTCATAGACCCTTGAAAGTTGAGCGGCTGGCCGCTTCACTCCTCGCAAACCGATTGATGTAGAAACAGAAGTCCTGAAAACCACTGACAAAACAACTTACCAAAGTGATGGCTTTGGTGTACGCCTTCACAACCGCTGCTTTCTGCTCCGACGCATCTCCCGCCATCCGATCGCCGCCCAGCGGCCAGCTTCCACCGTCCGATACGCCATCCTTCCTACCCAATCGCAAAAACTCCTCCCACTGTTTCCTACATCCTTCCAGCGCGTCCAAGGCGGGCGGCTTTTGCTTCCAAATTCCTTCTAGATCACGCCTTAAAACCCCGGCGCTTATCCCCAAGTCGCGGCATCCGGCCTCTCCCAAGGCTTCCGCTGACGTCACCATTAGCTGGAGAACGCGCTCCGTTGCTCCTCGAGCGGTCAGCGACATGCCCAGCTCGAGGACACGTGTCCACCGCCGATTGGTCGCGAGCGCGCGCAGGACCTTCTCCCCGAAGCCCAGGACCTCTGCCGCCGTTTCCGCGTCGTCCGATCCGTTAATGACGTCAGCGAGAGCGCTCGCGAGCAAGTAGGCCGCCTTTGCGAGACCGCCGGAGATGCCACGTGGCGCATCCGGATTGCTCAAATTCTCCGACGGGGTTCCCCTGGTCTCCTCTTCTTCCGCAATGCTCGGGCGACTGGGTGCCCCTTTCAGAGTAGCAGGGCTTGCGCTGCCAGTGCTGACGTCACTTGCACTGTTCGCTGACGTGACCTCCAAGTTGCCAAAACAGCGTATTGCGTTACGGAGTTCTGTGACGGCTCCCGCGCGCAGCGCATGCTGGCCCGCCCGACTAAAATGCGCCGAGGCCGGAGGTGTGAATGCCCACCAGCCGCGGGTTTTCACACCTGCTCCGGGGGGAGCCTCTCCGGGGGGCGGGCGTCACGGCCGCCGACTTGCTGACGTCACCCTTCGTTTTCTTCGACTTCGCGCCGGCGGATGCGCTCGGCGGCCGCGAGACTTTGGGGTTTGACTCCGGCCGCTTGACCTCGTTTTCGGGGCTGGATTGTCCGCTTCCAGGAGCCGGGGTTTGCGCGGGTTTCGTGTCGGGTAGGGCTAACCCCAGCGCGATGTGCAGCCGCGCGATCCAGGCCCCGTTGCGCGCGAACCACTCGCGCGTTTTCCGAACCTCGCGGCTCCACGCGAGACGCGAAAGCACGTGTTTCTGGATAGTTACCGCAGCAGCGACCCGTTTCTGATCCAGCGCAGCCTGTTCCGGGCTCAGGTCCTCTTTCAGAACGGGGTCCTCGCCGCTCTGCACCGTAGAACCGCTCCGGCTCTCGCTCCTTTTCCCGTCATCCTTAGCCGACGGTTTCTTCGTCAGCTTCTTGGAGTCCCCTCCCTTCCCTTTCGACTTGGAATCACTCTCTTGCTCTGTTTTTTCCCGCGCAACATAACCCGGCCGCTTGCCCTTGGCCCTCACCATGTCTTCCAACTCCCCCCCCCACTTCACCACCCGTTCGTTACACCCCTCTCGAACTTCTTTCTCAATCACTCTCACGGCGAGCTCAAACGCGCGCGGATGGGCTGCGAGGTCGCCCTTCAGCGCGGCCCACGCCTTTTCACACCCGTCCGCCGAGTGTAAATGCACTCCCAGAACCTGAGCCGCGGCATCGGGAGAATCTTCGACCGTCGTTGCGAGACAAATCAATTCTACAAACGCCCGGACCAGTCGTCGGGGTCCGTACGAAAACGTTCCTACCTTCTAACG